TGATGTATGTGGGGTCTTAGGGTTGCATCGGCGATGTGTGAATTCTAGGCTCCAACACCAATACCAAGGACAGCCGATTTGGGGTTTTAGGCCTCGGGCCTAGGGTGTGTGTGAGGGTCCGCAGCTGCATACCCAAGAACTCCACCTTTGAGCAGTGCTTGTTTCAAAGCGTTATGTGGTCAATGGTTTGAGAATCTCCCAGGCCTCGTGTTGGGGACTCACGAGATCTCAAGAGCATCATCGTCGTAGGTTCTTCTTGCTATAGTCTGAACTGCATCACTCTCCTGCCCGTTGTCATGTTCCGCCGTATCAAAACCCTTCCCTCCCTGCCTGCCCCCATGCCGCCGAGCCGGGGTCGGGGCCTCCTGGCTCTGCAGAGCCGGCAGTGGGCTGCCAACTGGGCCTCGCTGACAGCTTCGGGGTTAAAGCTGAGGGTCCTTGGTCACAAGAGTCTGCTGGGCCGTTGGGGGTGCGTTGAAGGCTTTGATATCCGCTGGCTTCGAGCCGCAAAGTACAACCCTCAACCCTTGAAGCACTAAACCCCAAAGCCTTAACCCTCAGCTCCTAAACCCCTTTGGCTGGAAGCCGAGTCAAGCCCTCAAATCCCTGAACACTCCGAAAATCTAGCCATCCGGAAACCTCGCGGGGCCAGAGGACCAAAGGACGGCGCCGTGCGGCCGGGGCTCAGCCACCACGCCCTCCAGTGCCTGCGAAGGTTTAGGGTTTCGGGTACGGTTCAGCGTTCAGGATGGCTCTGGCAGCCCGCACACTTGAGATAGCATGGCTGAAGACAGCGGGCGGCTGCTCTCGTCCAGGTCCCAGCTTTAAGACACTATGACTCGAAGATCCACGGTGATTTGCTTCTTCTTGGCTCTCGAGCTTGAAGCATTTGTCTGACAGGCTCCCCCCCCGCCCCAACTTAGGTTTTGGTATTACCCGCGAGAGACAAACTTCGGCCCCAATCGCATTGCAAATTTGGGTTCGGAGCTTTGGTTCGAACGCAGGGTGTGCTTGTAGATATACGGACCTATGCAACGGCTGGGCTTCTCAGAGAGCGTGCTAGGGAGGCCACATCCGAGGAAATATTGCAAGGTCTTGGATTGCGGACTTCAGTTGTATGACATCAGACAAAGTGAATACTGTGCAGGCGGGAGTGCCTAATGCCATCCACAGAGTTTCGCTTATTGAGTGCTTTTGCATATTTGGTACACTGGGGTTGAACATGATTGAACCCCTATACTATACATTCAAGCCGAATGCCCAGCGAGTGCAGTGAACGGTCCATAATTATCAACATTTTCGAGTGCTCACTATGCCATTCAGACATGGAAGGTACCCTTCAAGCCCTCAAGCCGGGAATCTGAACCCGCTTCAAACCCTAAAGCCGTAAACGCCGTAAATCCGACAAACAATTCCAAAACCTTTTAGCCAAAAAACCCTGAACCTAAACTCCTTCGCCCCAAAAGCACAATGCTATCCGAACGAACTCCACAGCCCTCGGAGTCCTGGTGGAGGTACCAGAGATGGAGCCGCAACAGACACAGCCCCATGTGGCCCCAGCAGGAAAATGCCACTTGCCGACAAAGCCCCTGCGATTTGGGGATTCAAGTCGAAGCAGATGCTGGTGTCGTTTTCCGCTGCTACTGCTGCCCTTGTCGTCGTCTCTCCTCCTCCTCCTCCTACTACTACTACTACTACTACTACTACTACTACTACTACTACCACCACTTTTTCCACTAGCACTACCACCAAGGGACGCCGCCGGCGGCTTGCAGCTCGGGGGTAACAGGGGAACCGGGACGTCGCTTTGACATACATTACACTATGTGAGTTCTCAGTGCGTTCGGGAATCTTCAGAATAAACTTGGTAGACTCATTGCCCAGTCTGTGTTCGCAAGAGGCGGAGGGAATGCAACTGCGGCATTCAAGCCACAGTCCGAGTTCCTCTAAAAGTCTAAAACATCAATCCCGCAAATGCAAGGCCCCCATTCAAATCTCTAGACCCCTGTCCTGGAGAAGCGTCGACGGTGCACGCGAGGTGGCCCCTGCAGAAGCCGCCGACACCAAAGTCCGAAAGGAAGGGCTCCTCCAGCTCCTCTGCTTTTGCAGACCGTCATGGACATAAAATCCCCAGGCGATGCGTTTTGAGATCAATCTTTAAGTTTTGTACGTAAGTCATGCAAAGCGTAGTGTAGCTTAACCAGAAAACCCAACTTTAGACGCATGCCCAACCTCAAAAGAATCCTGAACCCTACACTCCACAGGACCCCCAACCATAAACCCGAAATCCAAAATCTCATGACAGCACACCCCCATGCTTTGGTCTTCGAGATCCTCTTGAGCTTCACAACCCGAGGCCGAAGGGCGCAAGGCTATTCAGGGTGGAGCGATGTGAAGAGAAGCTAGGCAAGCCGAGTGCTTAGGGTTCCCTAAGCCGCAAACCCTAAACACTACACTTATGTTGCCGTAGCCCTCCAATGCCTAGGGAAGAGCGTTGACGAAGGCGACGTACTCGTCGCACAGTACCTTGGATGGATGAGCTCAATACATCGTAGAGGGACTCCGTTCAACCTGATCCCATAGTCGAGGACGCGGAGGATCATAGCCATAGCCATAGCTGCCATAGTTATTCGCATCCAAAAGCTTACGCCCACAAATGGGGCTTAGTTTTTCAACGAGTGAGGGGTCACTATATAATATGACACTGACACAAGCCCCAAACCAAATCCCGAATCAGGGCTCTACACCCTACAAGAAAAGCCTCAACAAGGAAGCCTGAGCAATGCACCGCAAATACCGAAAATCACCAATTGCTGCGGTCAAAGTGCAACGCGCTGCTGTCGCAGCAGACCGAGTCCCCGCCGGAGCTGGTGGCGCATCGCGGCCGAACCGATGTCCAGCTCCTGTGGCGAGATCGGAGTTAGTGAGGCTTGGGTCTTTAGGACCAGGAGTAGTTTTGCAGCTTAGGCGTCTTACTCTTGTGGTTTATGGCTTCGTAGGAATTGGATTTTAGGGTTCGGGATTTGGGCTTGCGCTAAAACGAGCTGTTGCTAATCAGGTGGTGTTGCACGTTGGGATTTGAGGACGGCTTTTTTGCACAAGTTTCTGCCTCCAGTGGCTCCAGGCCGCCCTCTCTATGCCGGGGGCAGGAGAGCAGGCAAAGGCTGCAGGCGGGCATGACGGCGCGGCATGCGCTGCAACGCCACCACGAGGCATCCCGTGCACAGCGATGGGCATAGCAGCCCGGTGCTTCCATCGATCGGGGGAGGGTTCAGGATGAGCTTTGAAGGTTCAATTGTGAGGACTTTCCCCTGATCCCTATGATCGCTTCGCACAATCAGGTCCTCAATGCAAAACGCTTGGTCAGTTCGAGTCTCTATAAAGCTTATCTCTCCCGATGTGGCAGCGATGGTCTGTTGAAGGAAGCGAGGTGTGTGTTGGATTACCTGTTTGAGGTGGGGCTGGAGGGGCAACCACAGCTGAAACTCCTGACATTATCCTTGCTATTTCCATTGTCCAGACACAGGTTTTGCTGTGGATCACAAGCTTAATAAGATTTGGCTTGCTGTTCTGTCCCGAAAAAGTCACGCAGGGTAGGCGTATGGAGTTGCAGGATAAATAGATGCTTGAATTGAATTGTGCCATCATTCCTCGTATGTTCTGCGCGCCGATCCCAAGTCTAAGTCTAGTCCTGTAGCTGCTAATTTGCGCAAGTTTTGGCTCCCGAGGAAAGGACCCGTTTAATGAACTCGAACTGCATCGGCCAATGACTTCATGCAGGCTTAAGAAAAACGCCGGCGACGATCGCCACCCACAGCGGGTGGGCCACGCCGCGGCTTCAAGACGCTGCGAGAACCTAAAGCTAAAGCCCCGGAGACTGTAATAAGTGATGCTCAGTGCAGCATGTCGCCCCAGTGTTCACCATTTGACTCAAGTGCTGGAGCCGGGAATGGACAGGTGCAGCGAATAGGCGAACACATGCAACTTGGCCTCGCCTGGCGTCTAGCAGCAGATGCCACTCCATCCTTGTTAACTGCCAAGTCCTGCCCTGGTTCATCCATTATGGCAGCCTTTGGCCAGCCAGTGCATGGGATGCTTGCGATTTCCGGGGGGCATGAGCCAAGTGCCCGTCCCTCCTTCGCAGCCAAGGCGCGAACTTCGGTTTTGCTGAGGGTCAGAAGGGATTTGCAGCTGCCAAACTCCCAATAAGAAGGACAAGACCAATACTACGTTGTATCGATGGCTACATGAAAGAGACAACACAAAGCAAGAAAGCATAAATAACAGGCCGGAGTGATAACATTGCTTCTGTTCCGACTCTTGCTCATTACTATCACCATCACCGTCGTCCAAGTTCATCGTCAGCACCTCTGTTGCTACAAAGGCGATTTATTCCAACAAGGGCATTGACACATGAGCCATGGCAATGATTCCGTTGCTGTTGAGAAGGGGTTTGTTATGCAGAGGAATAGCAGTGGTGGCAGTGCTGGTAGTAGCAGGTGCAGTAACTAGTCATCGTCGTCGTCGTCGCAGTAGTAGTAGTTGTTGTTGTAGAAGTAGAAGTAGACGTAGAAGTAGGAGTAGCGCAGCATCATTAGCAGTAGCAGCATCATCAGCAGTAGCAGTAGCAGCAGAAGTAGCAGTAGCAGTAGCCACAGCAGCAGAAGGAGCAGTACTAGAGGTGGTGGTAGTACCGGTAGTAGTAGGATTAGTAGTAGCAGCAGCAGGAGCAGGAAAAGGCCAGGCTCAATGCGTGTTCCACCATCGAATAGAGCAAGATGCACTGCTAAATATGACCAACAATGTTGCAAGCAGGCACGTCGACAAAAATGACACTAGCAACAAGAAAAGAGGTCATCGTCATGGCACTCGCACCATGGGTCACTTTTTCCCGTAATTCTAAAACCCCGAGCCCCAAACCCTGACCCTGTACCTTAAGCCCTAAGTCCTAAGTTCCAGAACTCTCATAGTAAGCCTTGTAATCATCACGGCACAGGCCCTCAGCGATCATTCTCCCAACGGCGCTCAACTTGTACCGCCCTGGCAGTGGTAGAGACGGGACAGCAGGGGCTCGTCGCGTTTCATGCAGGGTGCAAGGTGTATTATGGTTGACTTCTATAGGGATTAACTCTTCAAACCTCTACATGAAGGGTTTGCGCCCGAGGGCTATATAGGGTTCAGGACTCCAGGTTTTTTAGGCTTCTGAGAGTTTGGTGGGTTCAGGGTGACGACCAGATGCCAGCAAAAAGGCGAGCTACCAAAATCGTGCCAGACATTCCTGGCGGAGGTCACAAAGTGAGGAGCATAATACGAAAACGATGATATTTGTTTATGATATTGTAAATATACATGCACGCACGCCGTAGATAGCAAGATCTTTGATTAGAATGACCGCTGAACAAGACGGAGCCCTAGCAAAACGAAACACTCGCATTCCTGCAGATGACACACCGTGCTAGTATCCGACAAGCTCTTAATCGTGACCCGCACAGCTCTTAAGTCGATCCCATAAGGGTACTATAGAGGCATTAATAACTACCTATGTATACTATGTTGGTTCCTTTGGAGCTTTGCACCGTCCGAAATAAATATACTGTTTTGGGGATTCCTTGTTATGATTTTCCAGTATAAGCTTTGCAAAGGCCCAGGTCGAAGATCCTGGGGTTCGGAGCGGATATTAGTGATCCCTTTCTACAAGAGGGGCTCTTGCTGACGTAGCTTGCGGAAACGTGCTTTCTGCAGAGCTTCCATACATGCGTTGTTTATCCACAGAAAATCAAAGCCACGCTTCCCGCCTTGCTTAAACCTCCACCCTCCAAAACTTCCTAAACCTTGCCACGAATCTAAACGCATTCACCCTTAGCCCCTGTGCCCTCACCAGAAACCCTAAACCTAAGCGTCCACCCTGTCCCCCAGGTTTCTAGTCAAAAATCTGCAACATCAATGATCCTGTGGTCTGGCGCAAAAGGCTCGAGATTCAAGGCTCAGAGCTTGTGCTGCAGGTGTGAGCTTGGGGTATGATGTTGCGTCGGCGGGGTTCACGGCTTAGCATTTGAGGCTTAGGGCTTAGGGTTCCTGAACCACCTGCAGTCTCATGTTGAAGTCTGTGGGAGAAGTCTTGCCGTGATTACGCAACTGGCAGTCATGTCGCATTGCTTTTCTGATCTGCGGTCTGGAAATAAAGGCGCTATGGCAGGCTTGGTCTGAGCTTGCCGACTTGGGCTCGCTGGGTACCACACCGAAGACTGGCAGCGTGATCATCAACAGCTCTTAAAGACAAAGCGGGAACAGCGAGCCGAAGGAAAAAAGCCGTTTGCAGCCTGAGCCCTAGCCCAAGGCCCAAAACCCACAAACTCCTAAGCTAAACCCCAAAGCCTCTATCAACGTAACAGCGGAATCCTTAAAGCTCATCGGGACCGTGCCTCCCGAGTGCACTTTCTCTTCGCGCTTCCTTGCCTCCCTTCACGAAGTAGCAATAATCCTTGGTATTTAGGCAAGCCAACAGGTATTGAAAGACGCCAAGTCCGGAGACCCGCCTAACTTTGCCGTCGGCATGGACTAGAACAGGGTGCACACTTCAACAACTTTTTTGTCTAGCATGTCCTGCTGTGCTGTTCAACCAGGCTTGGCACGAGCAACTAGGTTCTTGCAATTGAGCCGCCGCTCGCACCCTCATCAAATCGTCGAGACTACAGCCGCGTGCAAACTCATTGTCCGGTAGATCGGGGCTGCTCCAAGTTACAAGCTAGCACTGGGCGGGCAAAACGCCACGATCGAGCTTCTGTCAGACTCAGAGATCGCTAGGTTTCCGGAGTCAAGCATGCTCAGAGTCCTCAACTCCAAGCTGAAGCAGTGCACCTGAATCCAACCCTAGAAAGCCTACTACTACTGTCTGCGGCCAAAGCCCCAAAGCCAAAATTCGAAAACGAAACCCAAAGAAAGCAGGGACTCTTAATAAGGACCCCTAGGCATTTGCCCTTCATATAGCTATTCTAGACCCATTATATAGCCCATTGTGGGAAACCCCAAGCCCGACACCCTAGGCTTGCACGACTGCCCGAGGGCTGGACAAGGAAAAGAGCCATGGCAATCAATGCGGCCTTCCACTCGGGGCTTTGAACCTGACAACACCATGGGCAAAAGGGCGCAGCCAGAAACAATACAATCAGAGGGACCCTTGGGGGGGTAAGGGGGGAGGGGAGTAGGGGACTTTTCTTCTTTAGGGGACTATACTTCCTTTACATAGGCCTTATTAGGTCCCTACCCCGCGAAGGGTCCCTATGATACTATGAAACCAGGAAAACAGGAGAGCAGAAACCAAACCAGGTAAAGGAATTGCATAGGCAAGGTTCGGTTTCGCTTCGTTGAAGTACTAGGAGCGAAAACCGAGGCCCCACATAAAGCTCTGCACCTGCTGAGCTACATTTTCAGGCCCCCACCCTTAAACACGACACCACATTAAGCTCGGATAGGTCCTATAGTTCTAGAACTCTACATGCTCGATGCAGGCCCTGCAGAAATCTTTAAACCTCAAACTCTTAGAATTCTAGACCACCGTGCCCGAATAGACGCCATACGCCCGGTCCACAGGAAGAAGGTAAAGGTTTAGGGCGTGTAGGGTTTAGTCTGAATGTAGACCTCTGATTAATTAATTAAGCCTGATTCGTCAAAGGGTCTTACTTCCAGGACCCCTAGTATAATCCTTCTCAACCCAAACCCTAACACCGAAGACACTACTACAGCGGACCTCCTTGAAGTCGACATGGAACTGGTCGGAGTCGGCATTTACCCCCGTGATCATCCCAAGTGCCTTCACGGTGGGGTTTAGGGTTTTGGGTTTTTGGGCTTTGGGGTGCGGCACTTTCGGCAAGCGCAGGGTGCGAGGGCCAGAGCTGGGTTCGGGAATGTCGGGCCGAGTGTCTAAAGACAAAGCTCGAAGCTCTAAGGTTTCTGCTGTGATGATGGCTTGCGGCTCTTTGACTACTCTTACAACTTCTGTCCGCCGCCACTACCAGTCTGCTTGTGGCACAGCAACATGGCTCTGGCTATGATATGATTATGGGATTGTCTCCCCTTAGTAAGGACAGTGCCTCCTCCTGATACTACTGCCACTACTGCTAAACTGCTGCCTACTACGACAACTGATACGGCGACGACGACGACTACTACTACTGCCACTACTACCAACACTAATACCAGCCTCACTACCATTACCACTGCCAGTGCCACTACAACAACTGCTACAACTACAACTCCTACTCCTACTCCTACTCCTACTCCTACTCCTACTCCTCTCCTACTCCTACTCCGACTCCGACTCCGAATCCGACTCCTACTCCTACTCCTACTCTTACTCCTACTCCTACTCCGACTCGGACTCCTACTCGGACTCCTACTCCTACTCCTACTCCTCGAAATTGGGTGGTGGAAAGATTTTTTACTCGGTCTTTAAAGTACTTTGCTCATGTCGCACTCCATTAATAACAGCGAGTTTTCAAACTCCAGCATCCGATTCTGGACTTGCTTTTGGCGGGGGGTGGGGGGGGGGGCGTGCGGAAAGAATGATGACGACATTGTTACGCCGACACCCCGAACAACATCTCCGGACGAGCCATTTTACTCGGTATTTGCATTGCTTTCGTGACGTCAGACCTCTTTCTAGTCGCCAAGCCTACATCTGGACTTTGCTACGTTGTCTTTTGCCTTTGCGAGGGCTTTCAGCGAAAACTCGAAAATGGGTGGTCATAACTGTTCGAGGCTGCCTGTACGTTATCAGCCCCCCCGCCCCCACCCCCCCCCACCCCCCAAACCAACGCATGCAAAAGGGGTAGTGGGTAGGGGGGCGGGGCCGCCTACTACTACTACTACTACTACTACTACTACTACTACTTCTACTGCAACGACTACGACTACTACGACTACTACGACTACTGCGACGACGACTACTACCACTGCTAGGATGACTACTCCTACGACGACGACTGCTGCTACTACTACTTCTTGTACTTCTACTTCTGCAACGGCTACTAATAACAATCAGAAATAGTCGTGGAAATAGATAGAGAAGTGGCACGATTGGTAACTATGGTACTTCTAAAAATATTAAGACTGCTGCTCTTTTACAGCCTGAGCCCTGGAACCTAGAGGCCCCTTCCAGCTCAATGCCTGCTGGGCATTGAACTGTCGCTTGATGTTTCCCACCTCAGCAGACAATTACGGTTTAGGGTTTAGGGAGTTGGGGGAAGAGAACCTGTAATGGATTTGGGGTTCGGGGCTTATTGAGACATCGGATAAGAGTTCGCCGACTCTCTCCCCCCCCCGGCCTGAAGGGGTTTACAATAGGGTTTTCCTGCCTGTTGGGGATAGCAGAACTGCTACCGAGACCCGGGATGAACTATTTAGGAGGATGGGGCCTTTCTTACAGGCTCACATCACCGTTAGAACGCGCGATCTTCGACAAGACCTCTATTTTCGACCTTGGAGACTGCCGAGCATCCCAAAAGGTATTGCAAAGACTCCGTAGAACCCGCTATAGCAAACATCCAAAGTCCAACAACCTTTGCAACAAACACGGAAAGCCGCGCAAGGCACACACTCGCCAACACTGAAACTTTATCAAACCACGAAAGCTAATATAGGGGCCTTAGTAGTTGCCAATACGATTTTTGGGGTTCCTTACTATAATTATAGTATGATGGCCTCCAAATCCCTACTCTAATGATTCAGGACCCTATATTAGACCCCCATAATACCCTTTGATAGTAGTCCTTGTAGACCCCCTTAAAAGGAACCCTAGATTATTCAGAGAAACTGTTGGCATTCGCAGGAAACTCAGCGAGGGTTGCCGACGAGGGGCCGTCTGGCCGTGGTCGTACACCTGGAAGTTCGTCTCCTGATGAACCAGGACCCCCTGAAGGGCCCTTTAGGGCTTTAGGGTAACTTTAATAGAGCCCTTATGGTCCTTAATAGTGTAGGGTGTTCACAACTTTAGGGTTTAGGGTTTAAGGTTACTTTAATAGGCCCTTATGGTCCTTAGAAGCGCGAACCCAGAGACTCCAATATCCCTTAACTAACGAATAGTCCTTAAACAATATTAGGGGTCCTAAGATAATTTAAGGAACATTCCTTGATTAACGGATATTGGAGTCTCTGGGGAACCAGGACCCCTCAAGGACCCTTTAGGGTTTAGGGTTTTCGCAAGGGTTTAGGGTTTAGGGTTACTTGAACAGAGCTCTTTGGTCCTTAATAATGGGCATTTCAGTTGGGGGGTCCAGGAAGGCCCATGAACCTCAAACCTCTGGTCCTCCCAGGCCGGATTCATTGAGAAACCCAGGATTAGCAGCTACTGCTGCAGGTGGACACAAAGCTTTAGGCCTCGGACACTAGATGCGTGAAAGCTGCTGGCACTTCAGCTCCAGTTGCCGCCCTGAACCGGGTATTCAGCCCTGTTATAATGTGAGGCCTCGTTGTGCCAGAATCTTTGTATGCACGTAGAGTATGTATATACATAGTATATCAGCGCAAGATGTGCAAAGCGAGAGCTAGTACAGCTTTGATGCCTAGTTCGACAGGAGAGAATTGAGGGAGCTTAAGGTCATGGACGAACCGGGAGTAACATGCCCATAGTTGGCTGTGTGGGAAAGTAATGTAGGGGCCTTAATAATTAGAATAGGGTTTTGGTGTATATCATACTATGAAGCTAATAAGGAACCCCCCAAATAGTATAGGTAATTATTAAGGCCCTTAAAGTAGACATTGAAGATCCACCAAGCCACCTGGCAGCCGCAGGGACAGCCCCAACAGAGCAGGGAGCAGTCCTTGGCTGGGATCAGCAACTGGTGCGCTTTGAGTGTTTATCCTATTAGGGCCTAAATGATTGCCAATACTATTTTGGGGGTTCTTTAAACTAACTTATTACAATTATCGTGTAACGGGCACCCTAACCCCTATGCTAATTATTAGGACCCCTATAAGAGGATTTTTTGACAGGACTTCCACCTAACTAATCAGAGTAGAAAGCTGGGGATGGACGGCTGCTCTGACTATTTCCGAGATTTACGCGGGTGTATTCTACTTGTAGCATTGCAGGGATGGAGGGGCCTCAGTCTCAGTAGGTTGAATAGGTTTTTTGGACGGGAGCGGGATGTAGTTCGATAACTAGACTATCAGCCATGCAAAGGTAGTCTTACCAATTGTTCTTCAACCCTTATAAAACTCGGCAGCTGTTATCCCTGCTAGAATTGTAAGGGGATGTCGTCATTAATTAATGGTTCAGACCTGTACACGCTATTCAATCTCAGCTTCACAGCAGTGGTGGTTCAAGTTGAGCACCTCGGAGCCATTCTGATCCTGGGAGCGCAGGCGCAGACAGAGCGCTCTCCACATGGCCTCTACAGCTTCCTAGACTTGCATAGACTTCTTGTCTGAGCACATGACTTTATGATTCGGATTTGCAGCTCTGTCACTTCTTGACAAGCTCTGCCCCAATGCTCAGGATTCTGGATTTTTTGGGTGTTGGGAGCGTAGAGCTAGGGATAGGCTTCCAAGGGTCCAGAGTAAAGAGTTTCGGGGTTCCGCTTGTTTTCTCAACTTTCCGAGAGTCTGGTGTGCGTAAAGTCTTGAAGACACTTCCGTCGCTGCGGGTGCTTTTCAAGAGTAGTTCGTTGGCTATCCAGCTAATCCAACACACGTCGATTTTGGAAGCTAGTCGCGAGCGATCCCAAATTGCAGGTTGGGAGGCCCCATCTCACATTCTGCAGCCGCAGCTCCAATGTGTCCTATTCCTGAAACCCGGGCAAGCTGCGTTCATGTGAATCCGCAGGTGGCAGCAGGAGCACGGCTCCACCGTGGTTGCTATCAGCTGGTTTGTCAGTGCCTCGGTACAGGGGCTGGGTGTCAGATTCAGGGGTCGCCAACACCTGTGACAGTACTGGTGCTGGCATGACTACTAGACCCAAGAGTAGCCTAGGAATAAAAAGGGTGCCCTTTTTGGTTGAAAGGGGCTTATAAAGGAACCTGAACCCCCCAAAAAGGGAATAAGGGCCTACTCTAGGTCCTAGACTATCAGGGCTGAGTTTCAGGCAATACGAGTTGCAGTCCGATTTGCTGCATGATGCATAGCATTCACGGATCACGGCATGCAGTGTTGTCTATGTCATACCCCAAAGCACCCGAACCTGAGGTCTGGATCAAGTTAGATCTGACCTGAAACCTGATACCCCCAAATCCCTGGAAGGTTGAAGCCCAAGGCAAGAACACCCTTGGACCCACAGTAAAATTATCACCTTTACAGGCTAGGCACAACACAACCAAATCAACCCTAACAGCTCCCAGAAAGGCCGTGTAAATCCCTCTCTTCAGCCCTACAAGGGTCTTTTAAAGCCTTTGAAAAATGCTAGTAGGTAAGATCCTCTGAAGCCCAATAAGAGCAAACATAAAGTATCCCAAGGCCCTACCTAGAGCAAACAGTCAGGCCCCCACGTTGTGGATGTGCATCCTCAGACGGCTGGTTGCAGCTTCCACGAGTTGCAGTGCGGGTAATGGGCGAGGGGGAGGCCTAAGGATTCGGGACTTCTGCTCTCCGACACAGACCCAGTACCCGAAAGCCTGACGAGTTAAGCTACGGGGCTGGGTGCTACTGCCGATCAGGGCTTAGCCTTTTTTGTGTAAGGCCGGTTCGGGTGTAGGTGCTAAAAGCTCTGCGGCATCAACGTATCGGGCTCAGAGCGGAGAACATCAGCACAAGGTCCCCGCAATCCCCAGAACCCTCAGGCAATCCTGGATTAGACCCTTGACCCATGAAAAGCAACACCAAAAAGCACTACAGAAAATCTCTGGGCAAGCGCTCAGCTGCCCTGCAACATGGAAGCCCAAGCTGCAGGGCTTCGGAGGCTGATTCCGAAACTGCCGAGCAGGCCGAGCTTACCCCCAAAGCCTAATTCCCGAAGGCTCCCCTGGCACTCTGGAGCTGTGGAAGAAGCAGTCCGGAAAGACATGATGTCCCCAACGTGTTCAAAGCACGGGATAATTTGGGAGTTTCCGAAAACAGAGGACCCTAATAGTAAGATCCTTATCCTAAGGACCCCCAAATAAGGTACCCCTAATTTTTAGAAACTCCCATTCGAGGCTTAGAAACGCATATGCAAACTCGGAGCCAAAGCCTTATGGACTCTGACAGCTGGCGCCCTGTAACACCTGAACACTGTCCTAAACGAGACCTTGCATGCTGGAGCTCAATACTGACAGGCTCCATGCGACCCAACACCTTTTCTACCTAGTTGCTTAGTTAGCGGCTCAAAGCATCATACTAGATTCAAGCACATGCCGATCCGAAAAAAGCTCCGCGAAACAGGAACATCTAAGATGCCGGCTTTGGCCGACCCAAGCAGCAACCTTATCAGGAATAACCCCGCTCAGGGCGTGTTTGTTCTTGTTGCGTGCATCGAAGGGGTTGCCGTGTTCTCAGGAGTTTGATGATTGTGCGTGTCAGGGACGTGATGCAGGACGTGCTCTGACAGAAGAGGTTTTGCGTAAGGGGCTTTTGCATGAAAGCAGCTCATGAAGAGGAGGGTGTGCCACAACCCTACGAACATGGCCCGGCTGGCAGCGAAGTTGCATCACGATGCATCACTTAACTCTACCATTCGTGCACCACTGCACCATGTCGGTTTGGCTACTGCCAAAAGAGCTGGTAAAGATGAAGTCTCTGGTTCAGTTGAAATATCAAGACGAGGGATGTAACCCGCAAAACTCAATGCTCGGATTTCTCTCTGGTTCCCGCAAAAGCATGTAGAGCTTGTCAAAACTCTGGACACTGCTTTGGCGCAGGCAAACAATGTCTCAGGAATCGGAGTGCTTAAGGCTTACCTGGACCCTAAAGAACCTACCCTTTTAGGGCTCCTTATTATGATTTCCTTATACAAGTCCTTGAAAAGGTAGGTTCTTCAGGGTCCAGGTAAGGTAACCAGGCTTAAGACAGCATCGCCCTGGGAGTTTCACCTGCATCCTGACCAACCTGCGTGATGTTCTGAAGGGTTCCATGCTTGGTCAGTCGCGGCTTTACGGCTCAAGTGTTAGGGTCCCTAAACCTCAACCCTGAAGCCCCATAACCCACAACCCTCGAATCCTTGTGAACCCCTACAGCCCTAAACCCTAAACCCCTAACCCCCAAACCCCTAAACCCTTAATTCCCAAAACCTTTAAACCCCTGAAGCCCTAAACCCTAAACTCGAAACCCTCAAATCCTAAAACCTAAACCCCCTGAAGCCCTCTCACTGCGACGAGGCGGCAGGTGCAGGCGAATGGCCGCTCCAGGCGCACGAAAGGCACTGGCGCCTGACCGGGACCTGGAGCCGGGTAAGTACTTAAAGGTTCATGGGACTTAGTAACCAGGGTTCCTTGAAGGGTTCCTTTAAGAGATCTATAAGGGTTCTATAAGGGGGAGCTTAAGATTCGTGAAGGATCATGTGACTTAACTATGTGACTTAGTAAATTACGTACGCAAGAGTTGGGGTGAAAAGTCCCCTAAGTGGGGTTCTCCGAATTATGACCCACATACTAAGTCCCATGAGCCTTTGAGTAGGGCTTAGTAGGGGGGGGTTTCGCAGTGGCGTAAGGTGGTGCGAAAGGGTTCTCAAGGGGTTTGAAGGACGGCTTGTGGCTTGTCTTTGGGTACAGAGTTTCGGGCCTCGGGTTAGAAGTTGGTGAGGGTTTGGGACTCGAACTTGCTTGTAAAAGGGGGGATCCTTCATTTAAACTGCTACTATCTGCATAGCCGTCCGCTCAAGAAATGCAGGCTCCGTCAAGGGCGGCTCTACTGATATGCTGCTGCAACATGCTGTACGAGCACTTAATCGCTGACGGGAATCTGCTGCAACTCAAGGTCCAGAGGTTTAGCCGTCTAGCTGCAAGCATGGCGAGATTGATTTGGAGAGTACGTACTGTGAATTGCAATCTGAGAATCTGAGGTGCGGCAGCATCGAAGTTAAAAGACGACGAAGAGCAGCCCAGAAACCTCCAGCCTACATGCTTGCGCAACAAGCAAGTCCCGAGATCTAGAGGTACAGACCAAACCAAAGAGAAAGGCACCCTCAAACCCTAACGGCCTGAAGGCCCAAACTCTGACCATTTATCCTAAACCCCAAACCCAAAAACATCCCAAGACTAAAACCCTAAACCCTGCAACCTAAGCCCCGCAAATTATACCCCAAACCGCCCCAAGCCCGCTTTGCCACCTGCAAGCATGGCGATGTCCAGCGTGAAAGGCCGATGACCACCTTCGAAGACCTGCCAGGGGAAACGCTTTAGAGTTTAGGGCTTAGGGTTTGGGGTTTAGGGGTTTAGGGTTTAGGGGTTAGGGTCTGGGGTTGAGGGTTTATGCTTCACGGCATGGGGCACGGAAATTCAACGACGATGCTCAATATGTGGCTTCCGAGAGTTTTCAGGAGGTAGTATATGGGGTTTCGTGAGGTTTTTGAAGTTATATGGGGCGGTAAGGGGCTGTTGTTGCTACGTCTGAGGCCATTGTGGAGTTTCTAGTTTCTGGGTTTTGGTTTTGGGATTCCGGATTGAGAGTTCAGAGCTTGGGATCGGAGGTTCAGCCTTACATCGTAGCTACCATCTCCGACGCGTCGTCTGACCTCAGTATAATTCCCTGCGTCTCTTACCCGGAATCGGAGCAAGAGCGCGTCTAGCTCCTAAACCATGCATAGATCATTTCGCAGATGCTGCTCATTCGACATACGGCTGTAATTACAGTTACAGTGTCCTCGCATGAGATAAGACACTCTTTCTTAACTGAAGAGTAGGGTGCCAAGGTTTTGGAAATTACGACGAAGCCGCCTGCCGACCGATGGCACCCATCACTCCGTTGCTGCGTTCGGCTGCGACGAAAAGGTCGTGTCCTGCATAGGGACAGGCAGCTCTTTTTTGCGATCCCCAGGTATGCATGCACTATCCAACAATCACTCATTACATACGTACACACATACGGACATACATACATATCTATATCTATATCTATATATATATATATATGTATATATATATATATATGTATATATATGTCGGACACACTCACATTACAACAACTACACGTTCAACTAGGAAAGCTGCCCTTGCAGCCACAAGTGCAACCGCCATCCAGACATACATGTGAACATGAGGTATTGCTTGAAGCAGTGGCGGTATTCCTGCTCGACTGTTTAAGCGCTTCCTTAGCCAGCAGATCGAAAGTACCACGAACCCTCAGCAGCAGACCTCCGACGGGGTCAGAGATCAAGTACCTTGGCTGTCTCAGGGCTGCATGGGGGGGCTCCGCTTTGATTCAGGTATCTTACCTTTGGTTAGTAGGGAATGGAGGAAAGCGGTATAAGTATAACTACTATTAATACCATTCTTCCATTCCCTAACCAAAGGTAAGGTATGAGCCGCAGAAGGCTTGTCCCAAGGGATGTGCTTCACCAACCGCAACCGCAGAGAGTCGAGGTTAGGCAGTTTAGGGTGCAGGGCATAAAGCTACAAGACCCGACACATGTCCTGTAGACCCCCTTCTTCAAGGGTACCCAGAGTGCCCAATACCCCTTAATTAAGGAATATAGCTTAAACCATAATATGAATCCCCTTATAATTTAAGATATATTCCTTAATTAAGGGGTATTGGGCTCTCTGGGTACCCAGTTGAGACATGAAGGGCGCGAAAGATGAGAAACTGGGAGTTGCACGGCAAATCTTCAAGCTTGGAACCCTTCCGAAGGCTCAGCCCCAGACACACAGAGCCGATAAGCCGAGGCAACATTGCAGGCCAAGCAGCTTCTCCGGCATGTCCCAGCCGACTAGAACCTTTGTAACAAAGTGGCTGCACATGCTTGTCACAAAGTCGTCGCTTGATATTACCCCGTGCGCGAGGAAGGCGCCATAAATGAACAAGAAAACGAGTCCCTAAGCCAAGACAGGGTTCTAGGCGGTCGAACTCTGGGACCTGGAGTGAGACGTAGACTCTAGACCCAAATGCACACAGGCCAAACAGGTTGGGTGTATCAGAGTTGCCGAAACGCTACACACGCTAAACTCTGCAAACTTATGCAAGGCCTATCAGCCCCATGCACGCTTACAAACGCTACAAGCCCTACTCTCAGGGCAGGGTTGAAGGGGTCTTTAAGGACTTAGTTGGGGTTGAAGTGGTTTCACTGTATAGGGTTCAGGTCTTCTGCAAGCATTATCTAGCGCCTAGGCTGGCATCTTGCTTGCTGAGCTTCCTTAGGAAAAGAAGGAATGAATGCAATTTTACTCACGAGATCTCACGAGAATTATGTTCAAAGCCTGAAGCTGGAAAACAAACCGATGGTAACACTCCTACGACCCGAAAATCCCAAAGCCTCCATCCCAAACTTGTTCCGCAGCAACCTGAGCCCTACCTGCACCAACTTACTGCCCATAATCGACAAAATTACTAACCAAACCCCGACCATATCTCAATTTGCCAAAGTAGCCCCCCTGACATCCGAAGGCTTCTCTGACCATACCTCAATTTGCTAAAGCGGTCCCCATGTCACCTGAAGGCTTCTCTCGCCGAGTGGCTTCAGCCCACTGGATCTGCTGCTTGATGGAGACGCCTGTCGCCAGGTTGGGGCTGAATCGAGGCCCAGCTTCAAGCAGTGTAGGGGCCTTAATAATGAGAATAGGGTCTTGGGGCCCATTATTGTAATATAAGGAACTCCCAAAATAGTATAGGTGACTAATAAGGCCCCTATTTTAGAGGCCAACAAGGGCTTCAATTCCTTCAATTCCTCTCTGCATAGAGTCGCAAGAGTCTACTGAAGGGCACCTTACTTGTTTTCGTTCATGCCTGTTGCTGCGCGCTGCTGACCTGGAGTCGTTACAAAACAGTGTCGCTACCTGCGCACTGACACTCCCTTCACGCTTCTTCCCACAGAGGATCTGCTGCCGTCGCTACAATCAAGATTTGGAGCATCGGGCCTCTAAATGACAGGATGGCGTATGTCAAGCGGCACAACATTCACAACACAGATCAACTCTTGGCTTCCACCGGTGTAATTGCGTGCCTGCAGGCATACTTGGACTTGTGCATAAGCGCTGTAACGCCGAGCACCCTCCAAACTCATTTGTTGCATGGAAAAGACACTTCCAGGGCTTAGGGTGCAGGATTGAGGTATGGGTTCCGATCACCATCATCATCACCATCATCATCTGTAGTTCTCACAGAACATCATCACTGTCGTTCTTAACGGGCATAGACCATTACCATCAATATCATCATCGGCAGCACATCACCGCACTATGATTCTTCTGCTGCATCATTGTCTAAGTCTCTGTTTCGTCGTCACCGTCCCCACCCTTCCGCCTGGCAGCCGGGACAGGATCGCAAAGGGATCCTTGGCTCAGCAAGCAAATGCGAGTTATCCAGGATATGCTGGAGACATGCATCCCGCAAGCGGCTGAGGGCTCGAAGCCTTGGAGAAGCTTTCAAGTCCTTCGAAGGTCAATCTAGAGTAGCGGCTTTAAGGTTCGACATCCGAAGGTTGAAAGCTTGGCTCGAAACCCACAATCCTGATCTTGAGCTTGGAGCTGGCGTTTCTTCTCTTCAAAAAAGATGTTGCTCCTTCCTGGTGGTTCACCTCAAGAGTCCCAAAACTCCTATTCTGGACCTCAGAGCGCAAGGCTTCCATTCGTTGGGACTGCCTGCCCAGCCATCATGTCAGTCAGCAATCCATCCAGACCTTTGTTTCAGGAGGGCCTGGCAAGCGAGCAATATAACACACACCGAATCCTCCATTGTTCTGTCCAAACATCGAGAAATATCGCAAGCCTCGTTCAACTGCATGGCCGCGCCGAATTCTGCAGGTTCTTGTCGCTTTGGGTTTATGCTGTCTGTAGAACTGAAACCATGAAGGTCCCGAGATCTAGAAACTCCAATATCCCTGAAGTCTGCAGCTTCGGAAAGGTGGGTTTCACGAACAAGGGATCCTGACACAGATCACCAGGATCCTGAGTCCACTGCAAGGGCCCGCAAAACATCCCAAAACCGGACCCCTCTTCTTCAGAACTGCGCATATCCCCTGGCAACCTCATCAAAATCCATGTATTCATATATCATAGACTTTGGTCCTGAGCACATGGACCCTTAGCATCCTTTGTCCTTGCATGCCGAGGGTCTGTCGGTCCTGCGAGGTATTGCAGCTGCATAGGAACGCCCATGCCTCCACCCATGGCCTTCGTAAGAAATTTTGGGTGATGGGAGTTTGCACTGTTTCATACTGACCCAGCATCTGCAAGAGTCTAAGTCCAAATTATGGGGTTCCACATTTTCCGCAAGCCCTGTGTGAAACAGGCCCTGGCGTCAGTCGTGCAATGCATATGCCGGGCATTTACCAACATCTCGGACTACGTCGACGCTCCGCATATTGACAAAGAGCGAGTCGACTTCGTGCATGGCCTGTGGCTTCTTGCCTAGTGTGACAACCGAAGCTTTCACGCAGTAGTCATAAATCCCTGACAAGTTCGGACGTCTTTTCCAACTGCGTTCGCAACGGTGGCGTGGTCTGCGGTGTTCGGGCTTCCTTCGAAGTCCGATCGGTGTTCTGCATTTCTTACAGAAGCGCCTGTCGCGGTCTAGAGGACAGACTGATTTCCCGGTCGAGTTCTCGCAGACACAGAAAGCAGAGGAAAATCAAAGATCTAACGTCAAAAGGGAGGGTGGGAGAATTACAAATCTTCAAAATGAAATCTCATGCCGAAATGGCCACGGACATGCGCATGTTCGTGTTAGTCGACAGAAAGCAAGAGTTGTCACTTCGCACACCTGTGTGCTACACGAAAATAACGATTCAGATGAATTTCGAGAACCCAGCATCAACCTTGTGGGATCGGAGCAGTGGACTTTTGACGTGAAACCTTGTTATGTATGCTTGTACTTTCTACATACTATAAGTATACTATAGATAGGCATGTCGTTGCTCCTATTCCTCGAGCAAGGTCGGGTCGAAACACTGAACACACCCTGGCTATGCAACCTCCCTAATCTTACAGGCCCTGAATCAAGAAGAATGAACCCTAAACCTTCTTTTTTATCATTTACACCTTAAGCCCTAGCCCTAAATCCTATTCAAGAAATTGAACTTGGCCCTGAATCCCGGCGCAGTCCTGCTGCGTCGGTGCCACCACGGCTTGTGCCACAGCGACCTCTGAGTCGGATTCAGCACAGGCATTCTACTGTTGTTTCAGGTTTACAGCTTTCGGCTTTGGACTTGGGGTGTCGGGTTTTGGCATGGGTTGAGGTACTACGGCGACTACGTTGTTTTCTAGTACTTCAGGCTAGAAGAGATGCTTCTGTACGGGACGTCGCCTGGGCGGTATGGCAGTAGTAATCGTAGAACAGGACTTACAGCTGTTGACGGCTTCTCAGAGATCTCTTCTCAGAGTATCTGAAAATGCGGTCTGAGCGGCCTGAACCTACAATACTGTTTTGTAATATACTGTAACATACTGCCTCAAGAAAGTTACCACTTGCGCTTACTACTTGACCCGGCTATAGGGGGCAGCCACGAACTGACTAGCTTTGCCATACCCGTACTGGCACTAGTACAGTGGTCGGTGGTACTGCCACGAAGAAGTGCAGGGACTAACGGTATCTGGTATCGGTGATCACTGAGGTTGGAGCAATACAATGAATTGGTAGCAACACTACCTGGATGAAGAGGAGGAGTGGCCTGCAGTAAGTGATTTTTCGATTTGCTACGCAAGGATGTGAGGCTTCGGAACCCCATGCTGTAGGCCCAACCGCCTCGACACATGTACCCGCTACTGTACTGACCCTTCTGCCAAACATGATAGGCCCGTATCCTAACTTCATCCTAGGCCCCATACGGGGGTTTCAGCATCTTGGGGGAAACGATTGGAAAGACTGACAAACATGCTCCACGAGCACCACGATTCTTCTTCTCATCTCGCACGGTGGAAAAAGTAGTAGCCCCTAGATCTGAAAAGCCGGAACCAGAAAGCCTCTACACGGCCAAGACCCCTGATGTAGGGGCCTTATTAATTACCAATACTATTTTGGGGGTTCCTTAATGTAATTAGAGTATAATGGGCCCCTATATTAGAAAGCTGACTCCTGCATGTGCCACCGAGGTCATGACTGGTGCCCCTGCTGCAGCCAAAGGCTGGTAGGCGACGTTGAATTGGCTACCGGGTGGGCAGCCTGTGGCCAGGTTCTGTTGGGATAGGGTTTAGGGTATCGTTTTCGGGATTCAGGTATGGAGTCTAAAGCACAAGTATCTAAAGTTATTGTCGCGGGTTGATCGGTTGTGGAAATTGTGTTTTCTACTCCCAAGTTGAACCTACTTCACAGTATTGGGCAAGCGGTATTGTCCTATGGCTTATCAAGCAATGAAGCATTGCAAGGATCCGTAACAAAAAACTCACCTTGTAGATCTCTGGTTGCATCCGTCTGAGATGGTGAGCCCTCAAGGATTTTCATCTTGTCATGTTCGACTCATGAGGCTATGAGTTTTGGAAGATTTCCTCGTGCGAGCTACCCCAAAACCTAGAATACGACGCCGCAACCCCGAAGTTGCCTAGCCACAACCCCAAGTGTTGACTGAAGCCTCATACGCGGGCCGCAAGAACCAACCTAATTAGGTTAGGTGCCCGAGCCCATGCATACCAAATCCTGGAGGCCCTAAGCACTGGATAAACTTGAAACCTGCTTTCGAGTTTAAATTTTCTGAGCCCGCGCACCGGCGGGCACTGCAACCCGCAGCGTTTGCCCATCCGGGCTCCGAACCTCGAGAATGGCAACTACTCCCGGCAGCTTCAGGGTAAGTATATCATAGGCCCCCATCCTCAAAGTACCCTAAACTCTAAACCGTGTAGCCACCCACAGCTGAAAGAGCCGACCACTCTACCCCCTACTACAGCTCGTGCCGTGCGGCACGCGGTGTGTAACCTAGAGCGCGGGTCTTCAAGGTCGCGACTGCTCAGGATTCACAACCCTGAGCCATAAAACCCCCGACCCAAAACCCTAAACCCCCTGACCCAAACCCCCAAACTACCCTCTATTATACCCCAGGTACCCACTATTGAGAACCATAAGGGCTCTATTAAAGGAACCCTAAACCCGAAACCTCGGCTCTCACGGCCCAGTCCCGCAACAGACCGACGCCCTCCCCTTCTGTGCCGGCGAAGCCTCGGAACCCAAACTACAAATCTGACATAAGCCCTTCATTGGGAGTTTCCGAAGAGAGGGGTAGCTGATTTTGGGGTCCTTATAATAAGGATCCTACTAAGTAAGGTACTCTATTAGGGTCCCCCTATTCTCGGAAACTCCCTCATAAGCTCAACCGCAAATCCCAAGCCAAAGCTCTACGTGAGCCTGAAACCTATCTACACTGCCCATACCCCGCAAGCCTCAACTCCCCTCTTCATTCTGAAGGTCGTTATCAACGCACGACCCTAACATATGATCTTCTCCATGCCAGGGCAAAGGCATCCAGCATCTGACCTGGGCTTGCCTCAGCCAAGGATGTTGAGGCTTCAGGGGTCGGGGTGCAGGCGTTCGGAATTGGAGTTTCGGACTGTGGGCTCTGGGGTGGATGCTAGACGGCATCTGATTTTGCTGACGACCACATCCCCGAGCTTGTCCTTGCCGCAAGTCTCTCTCTCTCTCTCTCTCTCTCTCTCTCTCTCTCTCTCTCTCTCTCTCTCTCTATATATATATACACACATGATTTTCTGCTGGCTTCGTTTGTTGAAAAAAAGCTGATCGAGCCGCACTCACACCAAGTACTAAAACTACTCCGTAAAGGCGGCAGACTGTCAACGAAAACGGAACCTTCCTGTACCCTAAACCCTTAACTCCGAAACCCAATGGCCTAGCGTATCTTCAAGCCTTCCGACATTGGCAAATTGAACCGAAGTTTCCCAAGATCTGACCGTCCCAAGCTTGCCGCCGAAGTGGCGCCCTGTGGAACGATCACCGCAAACTGGGCCGCAGAGCCCGGAACGACCTGAGGCCAACCCGGCGAGGCATGATGAGGATTTCCGGCTCAATGTAGGGGCCTCAATAATTGCCTTTTCCATTTGTTTGGGAGGGGTTCCTTATAATCATCATAGTATAATGGGCCCCAAAACCCTATTCTAATTATTAAGGCCCCTCTATTGGATGGGATTCTGGAAAGACGCTTTTCGGGCTTTAGGATTTAACGCTTTGTGCTGCTAGCTTTGCACGCATAGGGATTTGACACTTTGAAGGCTTGATTGCAGACTTGAGGATACGTGTGTAGGATTCCACAGCTTCAGGCGTGTCATGAGGGTTTAGGAGTGTGGGTCTTTCGGTTTAGACTTTTCGGCAACTCTCCGGGTGCATGGTTCGCTGGAGGAGGCACATGTATATAATACTGTATATATGCTTAAGTTGTGCAGGCTATCACCGTCGCTGCATAAACATACTAAGTCGCTGTCACGGACCAGAAGCAATCAAACCCGAAACCCTGAAGTATCCCTCTCGCATATACAAGTACATGCCGACATGATTGCAATAGGGTTTCGGGGTCCCTGCACTACTGAAAATTTAGAAGAAGAGGGCAGGCACGAGTACTAACTCGGGAGTACTATATTGTACAAGCTGATAAAACACCAGAACTTCTCCTAAGACTTCTTGTGAACCATGCTTACAACTCAAGTTTAGGGATGTGTCGGGATGCGGGTCCCTTAGGGATTTGAGTTTGGGATAGCGAACATCGACCAAACTCGGTTCCCGGCCGCAGCATTCGCCAGCGGAACCTTCCGAAGGTGCCGGCTGTTGCTTATTTCAATGAACCGACACACCTCAACCCAATACGCCGTGAGCTTTAGGGCCTGTGTACGTGTTAACTAAGCATTAGGGTTGTGGCACTCGAGGCCCCCAAACCCCATGGGGTGCAATGCCACAGACATTGACCTTGAAGTTTTCAAGACACCAGTAGCGAGCACCTGCGAACCGATGACTGTGCCGCGTAGGTTGGGAGGTATGGAAAACCCTACAAGCACCCTTGCAAGCACCTTGTCCACGCAGCATGAAGCCCCAAAACCGAGGGGTAACTGCCGAGCTTCGGTTGATTTCCGCAGACAAGTCTATGTACTGGGGCCTTAGGCTTCCAATCCAGGCCTTTTGGGAACGATGACAAAACCCCAAGCCTTAACCCAGCATTTGCTGACGAGCTGCGTTCATGACGGCCCTCGCCTTTCCCGGAAAAGGCGCGGCGGCAGGTCAACTCATACGCGCTAAGATAAACAGCTGCGGCAAATCAGCGATCACCAGCCATGTAGGTGGCTACTGACTGAAGGGTTATAGGGCATCTTGAGTCCGCTGTTGTGGATGTAAGTAAGCCTTGTCTTGTTGAGTTCACAAACTACGCAGTCCCAGATCATGAAGCTCCAGTTCTGGTCGCGCAGCACTCGGAATTCCGAAAGCCCACATCTTCGAACCCTAGAACTCCAGATTAATCGAACTCATGGGTTTGTTTGCAACTGTAAACATTGTCAAGTCTTGGAGTTGTTGGACGTCTTGGACTTTTGAAGAGGAGAAACTGTGATGTAGACCTGCCATGAGGAAGCTCATCGAAATTAGAGCACACTAGGCGACACAAACGTAAGAACGTGAAGCACCGTCTCAAAATCCAGCTAAATATCAGAGGGGTGCAGGAGTGGCCTAGTTCTTGTTGGCTGTGGCAATCTCAAGCGGGGATGCGAGCTTCGAAACGTTCAAGGTTTACTGTCTGGTGCTTAGTAGGGAGTGGGAATGGATCCCTACAGTAGTTACTATATAATCCCCAATAATGGTCTCCAATATCAATATCCATTTCCCCATCCCGTACCAAGAACTAGACAGAAACTAGACAGAAAAGGATCCCTTATAGATCCCTTCATAGAATCCCTTTAAAGGAACCCTAAACAGTCCCCCATGGTTCAGGGTTCAGGGCGATTTTCTCTTCTTCCTGGCATTGACGCAGCCGATCCAGGGGCTCCCTGCCGCTGAACACTTCTCGCCCGAGATCGCAGCCGAATGACAACGAACAATAGAGAAGGGTTTTGGGCTTAGGGTCTAGGGGTTAAGGGGTTCGGCTTTCGGGGTTTAGGGTTTGGCGGATTGCGACCCTAAACTTGTCAGAACCCTAGGCCCTAAAACCGAAACACCGAAGGACTTGGGGCTTTGGGCAGAAATCTCAGGATTTCGGGCCTTGAAGGTTCAGGGTTTAGTCCACAACTCCACGTGTAGGTCCTGGAGAACGAAGGTATTGGAGTTCGGGGTGGTGCTGCGACTAGCAGGATCGTCGGGTGTTTACAAATGCCTGGAAACATTTATTGGGGGCAAGGTATAGGACATGAAGGCTCCCAGCTACTACTAAAGGTTTAGAACACACTAAACCAGCTATTCTCAAAACATCTACATAAATAAATGAAAGCCTTCATACCTCTGAAAGCATCATACATTCTTTAATGTTCGGGCTACCGGGGGTTAGCTTATGCCACAGCAGAAGCTTCTGAAACGAAGAGAGCCTGGTATAGAGTGGATACATCAAAGGGAAGGATATTCAGCTACTTGCCCCCGGCGTAAAGAACCACCGGTATAAACCCCTATAAACTCCCAAAAACGCTTATGATTCCGTGCAAACGGTACCCCCTGGTTTGGGCGGAGTTTGCGGCTTGAAGCCTCTGGGCTTCAGGGCATTTTGCTCATATAGAGGAGGCTCGGGGCCTGGTCCTACACCCTAGCATTGAGGGTTTATGGCATTTACAACAAGAGTTACGTAACTCTTCTTTTGGGGCACCGCGCAGCGGATCATCACCACCACAAGGGTGGACTCTCACTGAAAGAGCTAACTTAGTGTCTTCGGGATGAAGCAAGACTCCTAAGGATTTGGAGGCCCTTTCGATTTGCAGTCACTTTCAGGAAGCCCTGCTTTGATAACGTACTGTTCAATAGATGGACCCTCTAGTCGGTAAGAGGCCTCAAGCCTCCTAGTTTCGGCTTCATTTGTTGCTGGATCTCTTGCACGAACTCGGCCTGGCAATGCAGGAAGCTCCTGGCGCTAAAGTAAAGCTATGGAACAAGTCTGGGCAGCCGCCGCGAGTCTGATCCTGATCGTCAGAGCGGAACATGCTGCCGAGATTCTCCTAGTGCTACCGAAAGCTCGGGACATTGCCGAGTGGAACGGATGAATAGAATCGACCCAGTACGCTGTCTTCGCGTACTCATCACTGAAGGTTCGCGTCAGAACGTCTACCCTAGATTCTAAGATTCTAGCTTCAACAGTATCATTGGTTACGAAGGGTTCCTGTATCAGGGACTGGAGCTTCGTTACAGTATGGGAAACTTGTTAATCAGTTGAACTTCACTTGTGATCCGTCAGCGCGCGATAGCCGGGATGTTCGAAGACAAACGCCGAGCCTGACATTCCGTGACATCCCAACTTCTCAACATTCAGGTTCCACGTTTTGGGGCTTCTCCCACTGGGTCCATGTGACGAGGATCCGCGTCTCCTCAGTGTCTGTTCCGGCTCTGGTCTTGCGAGGAGTTCGGGATGCAAGAGCTCGGACACCACTCAATGATGGCACGATGACAACGACGACGTACAAGTGCAGCCCCATTTCTACCGTATAGCCTCGTAGTGCAGTTGTAGATTCGTTGTTTGCTTTGCGACCGATGATGATTATGATTGTGATTGTGATTTCGCTGACCCTGATGGTCTAGATGTTGATGACCATCGTGCTGTTGCTAACACTGACAATCAATACTACGACAGTTCTAGGATTACAATGCCGGATTGGCTGGGAGTTGAAGAGGATGCCCCAGCTGAAGCGAATGCTGTCAATACAGCGACCGATCCAGTTGGAAAGTATGATATGCTACGACGATCAAAAAGGATGGAGGCGACAATCATGTTAAGTACTCTTTACAGGGACAGCAAGTTCAAAGCACGGGAGTGGACACCCTGCTCCACAGACTCTGCAAGAACCTACCTACCTCCCAACTACCTCAAACTAGAAGAGTACTCACCACCACCACCACCACCACCACCACCACCACCACCACCACCACCACCACCACCACCACCACCACAACCACCACAACCACCACCACCACCACCACCACCACCACCACCACCACCACCACCACCACCACCACCACCACCACCACCACCACCACCACCACCACCACCACCACCACCACCACCACCACCACCACCACCACCACCAGCATCACCACCACCACCACCAGCATCACCACCACCACCACCACCACCACCACCACCACCACCACCACCACCACCACCACCACCAGGACGGCGACCATTACGAAAACCCTAAGCCACTGCTAATACGAGCCCCTCTACGAGTGCAACTTCGCAGCGACGGGTCAGGCCAAAGAGCCGAAGAGTGAACCGCAAATCTCAAGCCAACCTCGACTTCGAGCCTGCCCGAAACCCCAAAACCCAACACCCTAAACCCGAAAGCTTCGAAAGCATATCCCTTCAAAAGTAGATCTCACATCTTCGAAATCCCTGGGTCGCGCGCAGCTCCCCGGAGCCCAGCGGCGGTGGACGGCATCGACGCGGTGGCAGGCAGGGCACGGCCTCTCTTGTGCAAGCTTGGGGTAGTTAAATAGGGGACTTAGTATGGTACCCTAAATAATAGGATCTTTATTATAGGTTTGGCATTTGGTAGTTTCAAAAAAATAGGGGACTCTAGTATAATACCCTAAATAATAGGATCCTCATTTTAGGTTTGGCATTTGGTAGTTTCAAAAAAATAGTGGACTCTAGTATAGTACCCTAAATAATAGGATCCTCATTTTGTAAGGACCCCACAATGAGGTACACCTGATTTTCGGAAACTCCCACTTGGGGTTTGGGCTTCGGTCGGAGCCAGGGGAGGCAGCCTCGTGGACTTGCCGACTGAATCGATGATTCGGTAATATCGGGTGCTTAAATCATTAGAATTGGGTTCCATTAAAGTGGTTCCATAAGAGTCTATGAGGGATCTATAGTAGGGTTCTATAATATGAGGGAATAGGGTTTTGGAGATATTTTATTCTATGGTTATTATAATAAGGAACCCCCAAAGTAGCATAGGTAACTATTACGGCCCCCCTAATAGCAGTCTCTGGATCATCCTGCCTGGAGACCTTGACCCCTAAACCTGATCGTGGTGTGACACACAGCATCATTCGGCCCCGGCATCGCATGGAAGCCTCTTCAATACCGAGAAGCCAACACGCCCTGAGCCCTGCAACCCCACTTAAACTCCCGAACCTTTCAGCCCCAATCCTTCATTCCTCAAGCCCCCAATTCTTCGACTCCCTTCTTGGGAAACTTCGGAACTGCTGGACCACTATTGTAGGCCTTCCAGTCGAGGCGTGGCTGAGATTTGACGCTGCCAGGACACAAACATGGCCTCTGCGTGCTGTGGGTGGGTAATCGTGGCTTCGTTAGAAACGACATAGACTGGCAGCTAGCGACAGAAATACCAAGAACAGTTCGAACCAAGATTGCAACCAGTGGTCGAAGCCCGATTTTGTGAGATTGAGTGGGCTTACTGACCATGCTGGTTCGATTGAATGCGCAACATGCGAGTAACAACTTCGCACATGTCCGTAGCAAAAAACACTTGTGACAGCACTGTTCTCAATTGCCTTGCACAACTCCTGCGTGTTCTACTGCCGTGGGACTGTCACCAGGAACAGTATTGCCAGGCTGCCACTATCATCGTCACCACGCTGCTATGGATTAGGTCTGAGTACGCCTCTGGCTTTTCTAGTACGTCTTGTTACCGGAGCTACCCTTAGAGCCGCTCATCCAAGCGCACACTCGCAGGAGGAGGACAGGAAAACAGAGACTCTGAATTGAATTCGACAACCGCAACCCAACGCCAGGTCAAAAGCTGCAAGGGGAGTGCTGAAGCCGCACCGGTTCTGGGACAGTGAAGCAAGCTGCCATGTCCATTGAAGCACCCACCCGAAGCATACTGACAACGCAGTAAGGTCCAGGCCCAGAGTGTGGCTTTGCCGAGGCCTGGGTGCTTGGAGCTACTTGGAGAATCAGGGGACTTAACAAGGACAGTTACACCTGTACCTACTTAGACACTTGGTACGAGGTGTGAACCTTCAGGTAGCCAAGCCGGAACCCTTTCGGCTTTCTGGCACAGGTGTTGACATGTTTGCTGCAACCGACTAGAACTCTTCATTGCTGCGGCTTCAATAATCAGAATAGGGATGTGGGATATATTGCAGTATACTATGATATATGCATGCCGGGGCTATAACCCACACCCGAATCGCCAAGAACAGCAGCCTAAGCAGACTCTACATGCCTTTGCATGCCATGTCCTGGACTCTAGAGATCCTTCGTACGCATGTCTCGCTGAGGAAATTGTAGGGATGAAATAAAGCATCGAATACTGTTCCACCGAAACTTACGCCGTTCGGCCAGGACTTCTCATCAGACATCAGACGGCAATGAGAACACGACAACGATCATAAATAGGAACCAAGCTGCTAATCAGCTCATAACACGGGCGATCACTCCAGCAAGATTTCAGAAAGTATGGGCATTTCAGGTGTTTCAGGCCGAGTGTCATACTACCAGCTGAGTGTCTTTGTGGCTATCATGAACCTTCCACAGATTGCTCTCGTTACTGCGCTTGGAGTGCCGTGAGGAGTACTGACAGCACTACCGTGAGCACTTGCATCCCGATGATGATGAAGAAGATGATAATGATCACGATAAGGTGATGATGCTTTACACGGACAACTTTTCTCGTACGCATGTCGAAAATGCTGATGCTTCGCACCACCATCACCGGTCTCCCTTTTTGTCTCAAGCACCATGCAGTCGTCTGTATGCATATGGTGCATGGGTGCTTGGTCCAATCCTATACAGTTAGCTGTTCCAACGTGCGCGAAACGTCCTTGCAACTTCAGCGACCAAACCTATACAATTTCTGTTCGTTCACAGTGGCCTCTCATTGAACGCTCAGCCCCAAACCCTCGAAGCCAAACCGAGCTGCGAAGCACCAACCTCCAAATCCCCGAAGCTGTGGAGTCCCACTCAAGAGCACCTTTAGTGCCGGAGACCTCCAGCCTAAATTTGACAGACCTGTACCCCTTGCCTGCAAAGTCAAGCACTTCCAAGACCCTCTAAACCCTAAACCCTAAACCCTAAACCCCTAAACCCAAACCGCACCTCATACGCAAGCCGCAAACCTTGAAGGAAGGCGCTTACATCGCAACCCTGAGCCCAGAAAGCCTGATACTTCCCAAAGGGTCCTACTGTTATGGGGGATACTTCCCTAAATGTAATTCCGAATATAGAAACCCTACATGGCACTACATCCTACTATAAAGGTACTGTGGACCCTTAGAGCCTAGAATCCAGTTGAAACTCTTTGTCTCGGCCAAAGGTGCGCCAGCTGCTGCCGCGCAGTGTCAGCAACTGCGTTCGGAGCTCCCTGCTTGCGTCTAACCTAAACCTTCCTACTTGTCGGTTTGGGGGTCTGTGGGTGTAGGGGTTTAGTGTTTAGGGTTTAGTTACCTAGTTTTCGGGTATCATGGGGAACTAAAGGTTAACCCCTTCTTGGTTATATAGGGATTATATAGGGACTATACTGCCCTGAAAAAGTTAAAGGCTCTCTACTCTACTACTAGGCCTTAAGCCCTAGGATAGTTGTCTGGAGTCGTTAGAATAGGGCTTTGCAGGACAGATTAATTGTACTGCAACTATACAGGGGCTTTAAAGGGGCTTAAATGTCTTTGTCTATTAGATTCCCTAAGCCCTAAACCCTCGACCGTGAACCCTGGAAACCCTAAGTCAGACCATCAAACGATCTGATCCCTGGCCGATCTACCCTGCTATGGGGGCCTTAATCGGCTAGGATTCAGATACACCCTGTTCATATAATCGTACCAGGACCACATGGGGATATCATCCGACCCCTCTAACTATACTACCAAAGACTCCGGAGACAAGGGCTCAGGGTCCAGGCTGCTGTAGACTCAGGGTTTCGCAGGGTCCAAGATCAAAGGCTTAGAGGCTCTAAGGGGTCTTGGGGGTTCAGGGCTCTGAGACTACCCGGAGGCCAAAAGCAATTCCAGCAATTAGAATAATAGAGATCCTTGAACAGGGCCCCGGGAACTGTGACCAAGGAACTTTACTAGGATACCAAAACGCCTCGCTTTTTGGTATTGGGTAACTTTATAAGGAACCTAGGACTACAAAAAAGGAATAAGGGTACTACTGGGCATCCTAGTTTACTTAAGAAGTGCTACGCGGGGCCCGTGGCTGCGCCCGAGCGCCGCCTGCAGGTCAGCGTGGACTCGTTCAGTAGGTTGGCCTTGGTTCCCAGGAGCAACGAAGTTTTGTGGATTTGTAATCGGAACAATTTGTGGTCCTTTAGAGTTCCGCAGCTTTTTCTAGTTTTACAAGGGCCTGATAGTGTTGTGTATACGGATTGATAGAAGCCTGACAATCAAGAACCCGCAAGAAATCCTTGAGTCAGGAACTCAAGTACAACAAAGCTCCTCCCGAATGCCACACCCTAAACACCATAATGACATTCTATTAATCATAGTATCCACCTATGGCTCTTATATCTGTACCAGAATATGTATATATATATATATATATACATACATATATATATATACACACACATACATACATACATACATACATACATACATACATACATATATACTTACACTCGGGTGCCGACCAACATCCGTACCTCGCCCTCCAAGCTGATAGACCGCTGGCCGAAGTAACTCCATCGCCAACGCACGAACCAGACTGGCCAGAGCGCAGGCTATGGTATTAAATAAAGCTCATGGTAAGTATGTTGTAGTAGACTATAGTAGAGTGTAATAGGTCATACGAGATTTGGGAAAGTAGCAGTTCCAAATAATGTCTTTTACATGTTTATATAGTGGGCATGTCTGTCATAATACTGTATAGAGAGTGAGTTTAAACACGACAACAAGCAGGTTGCTGATTATTTGCTGCTATAGTCGGCTGCAGTTGTTGCTTCTTTTGGTGTATTAAGGACTAGACCGAACTGGCCAGAACTCCTAAGATTTGTCGGACTCTGGGTCTATCGATTAGCGATGATTAGCGGTGATGGTGATGCTTAGGGCTTAGATTGGGTGTGAAAGATTGAATGCTTAGGGGTGCCGAAGCTCAAGGTGTTGAAGGCTTCGGAAGCTTGTAGTACGAAAACCTTATTTTGGTATTCAGCGAAAACCTGAGGTCCCAAGTTCCCAGAGCCTACAGCCCACGATCCCCTGGTCCGCCTCGTCGCTGCACTCTTATTTATCCAGCACTAGCGGTCTTCGTAGCAGCAGCGGCAGGGGCTGCAGCAGCAGCAGGAGCAGGAGCAGCAGTGATAGATGTGGAAGTTATGGTGATGCCAGCCGTAGGAGGCAGGGGCTGGGGAGAAGCAGCAGCAGCACTGGTCAATGATGAAACTCTTGCTCTTACCAACACTTGTCCATGAACCGTCCCACTTAGAGGGATTTCCCCCGCTCTTACAAATCCTGTTGCGACAGGGCTAGCATCCAAACGTCTTCACTTATTGGTGTCACTGGCTGAACTTTCTTAGGGTTGTTCGGCGTGTTTGGCCTTCGCGCAGGCAGCTTCGGCTGCTTCTTTTACTTTTCCAATAACCTCAAACCTAAACGCAAAATAAGAGCAACGACACCCGCCTTCGAGGATGCAGAAGAACTCATCGCGGTTCAGTATGTAGTCGGCGATCTTCATGTAGTTCCACCTCCAGACTCAGTTCACTGCTTCAGGCAAACAAGCTTCATTTGGGACTCAAGCCAAGGCCTTGGGATTTTAGGTCTATCTACCAGGGGGCATTTTCACGAATAAGATGCTGGTGAGATTCAGTTCTGGATTCAGGGCTTGCGTTTGGGGCTTCAGGTTTCCCAGCAGAGCGCCTCAGGATTCAGGATTGCACTGCTCACCCTCAACCCTGCAAAATGCCGGACATCTCAACTTCGGGTTTCACCCTAAACCCCGTAGCCCAGTTCCTGCAGCCCTTCATGACCCTGAGCCTTGAAACCAATAGTGAATGGCAATGCCGGTCCCCGTCGGAGCTTCTGCATGTACTGGAGCCTAAATCATTGGATGGCGTATTTCGTTCTTGAATGAATTACGGGGTTACGGCTGAGCCTTCGGGCTTGATGGCTTGAGGCCAAGGGTTCGGCCTTACGGTGAAGGGCCTAGGGCTTACCGTAGGGATTGAAGAATCCTGCTTCCAAGCAAGATCTGACAGGCCCACCTCCTGTGACTCAGCGCGCTGCTGTGTGATGCGGTCTGGGCCTTCCAACTTTCAAGACATGGGGCTCAGGGTTTACCTTAACCCTGAATAGCCTGCCATTTTAGGGTTCCATGTTATGATTCCTTTATATAAGTCCTTCAAACGGTAGGGTATTCCGGGTTAAGGTAGGGTTTAGGGGCTTATGGTTTAGGGGTTTAGGGTTTTTCCCGGAGGGAGTAGGACAGTAGGACCCCGTAAAGCCCCATAATTAACCACCCTTGCATGACACCTTGGGCCTTTTCGGGTTTAGGTGCAAGCGGCCCGTTGGCTTCATGACTGCGGCTAGTAATTAGCTGAAAACAGATGCAATACGCTCAGTGTTAGGTTTAGGGTTTCGGATTCAGTATGTCATTTCAAGGGGGGCCGAAAGCTTTTTCAAGGGGGGCCGAAAGCTTCTTGGGCCTCCAAAAAGTCAGGGCTCAATAAGCTGGGGCTTTGCAAGAAGCTTTCGCCCAACGACTCACGCAGCCAACAGCGTCTCGAAGCCCTACACTAGTCTCTCGTGGAAACCCTAAGGCGTGTCCACACGCACTAACGCACATTTGCTGCTAGTAGCCGCGATGTTGATAGGAATATCCACAACAACGGCAGCCCAAGCGCATGTTGTGTCATTCCTTGTGCTGATCTTTGAATGCTGTTGGTGCCGGGATCTGCGAAAGTATCAGCAAGCACTAAAGCCTAAACCCTAAACGCGTAATAGCAGCAGCGGCTAGCCTCCACCTGCCACCAGTGTACGATGAGTCTAAGCATCTCTTGGTCGGACTTCTTGCCCTTGGCTGCGGCTTAGAGCTCCGGCCCTTTGGTCTGCATGGGCTTTAGGCGTTCAACGTCTGGGCTTGACGTCTTGACATTTAGGGTTTACTGCAGGACTTCACGGGCTTTAGGGATTTAGGCTGTAGGTTCAGCTGCGACGTATCTTCTTCAATCTCTCGGACGTTTCTTGAACTAGGCTTCAAACTCGATCCTACATCCGAACTCCGGAGCCTCATACTCCCTGCACCCACACAGGATGCAGATGCCGCAGATGCCCGAGGAAAGAAAACCCACCCTTGCCGCACCGCAAGGTATTTTAGCCCCAGGCCGGGGAATCCTCCAGGCTGATGCAAACTGACATACACCCAAGTATACCCCTGGGCCCCATGGTAGTTCCTTTTTGGGAATACCTTAAAGGATTCTAAATATGAACCCCCAGACGCCCATGGGTAGTTTTAGGATATTTTCAGAAGCCCTCCCCCGAAATAGAATGCACTAGCATCCCGCTCACATTTCAAGCTGAGCATCACTGGTCACAAGGACCGCCGCTATGTGCGCCTGCATTGATAAAAACTTGTGGCCTAGGGTGTGCATGTAACACAAGGATCGTAGCGCTTTGTTGGAGTCCTCCTCGTTCCAATGATTCACAATGACAGTGAAGCTGCTTGTGACGTGTCCGAAACAGTATCCTGGCCCCACGCTGAGTCGAATGATCGCGATTTGGGGTGACGGCCAGCCTGTGGGAGGAGGTCAATGAGACAAGGAACGCCAGAGCAACATTCAGCAGAGTCCGTGACAAAATCCCTACATAGGCCACCTTGAAATCCAGAGCACTGCACCAAACAAATTATCACATTGTTGTTGAACCCTGAAACGCAAACGAAAAGACTCTGAATACAAGTCTTTCTAGGAGCCAGAAACCGAGCAACCATCCCATGCTCAAACACTCCAACAGTTCCCCCACGCAAAAGAGCTTGCATATACTGGTTACAGCACCTCTGAAGCTTTACAAGTGAGGATTGGTCCGAATCTAAACGCACCTTCCACTGGCAGAACACCACGTGAGAATCCTCTCTAAACCCTGAACATGAAACCCTAAGCCCTAAGGCCCTGAACCGCCAAACAAAACCTGAACGTCCAAGACCCGACATGGATGCGCCCATGACCTTGCGGCGGTTCACGCGTTTTTCGCCGACCTGTTGGCCGCGGCCAAGACAACACTACCATAGTTGGGTTGACCACATACTACTATCATTCTCATTATTATTACCAGTACTATTATGACCAATAACCAAGATTACTGTCAATATTGTTGTTGTGGTTGTTACTATATGCTATTACTTTGCCTTATGCTACCGTACACTGCCATCATGATGAAGCTGCGAAAACAACAAAAGCTGTGGAATCCCTTAAATGAAATACGCAGGATGTAGACCCGAACCTGCCAGGGGGACCCTCAGCAGCGAAGAACCATTCTACCTCACTTGTTGGGATTGCAACCTCATCAAGTCCGAGCTTTATCTATCGTAGTTGACACGAATGTGTGCTTAAACCCATACTTGCTCCAACCTAAAATCCGAAACCCGCGCCAACGCCCGCAAACCCTGAAGTAGAACAACAACTTTTGCCAGCCGGGTGTAGCGCTTCGAGCTACTGAAGGGGGAGAGTAGAGGATTTCTGTGCGGTGAAACATTTTTCTGGAGACTCCCACATATCTCTCGTATCTCGGGGAGGGGGGGTAGGGGAGTGTGGCGCGTAACGCTGATCTGAAGGGCATAAACCCTAAAAACAGTTGTTTGCAACGAAGAGGCAGTCTCTAGGCAGCGCCAAAACCCAAACCAAAACCAACACAATGTCAATTAAACACTATAGCTACCTAATCCGCTAAGCCTAAGCCTGAAATAAAATCCCAAAACCTGCGCCTTAACTCCTTAACCCTGGCCTTCAAAGGTTTGGACTTAAAGGGCAAGGCCTGAGCAAGGTGTCGCCATGCAAGCAGCATCCGGAGCGCAATGGTTGCTGCCAGCATGCCCGGCGTGTCTGGGGCAGCAGGCGAGATAACCAAACACTACAAACCCTGTAAGGTCCATCAGCCGTACAAGCTCTAGGTGGTGTTTACCAGCCCTATAGTGTCTACGAGCACCACATAAGCTCCAAGCTTGTAACACCCCGTGCCATCTCCTCTGCAGACTTTTCTTGCTACTTGGCAGCTTAAGAGCATAAAGGCCCTTCCGTAGTCGGATCCCTACGACACACAAAGAGTCCCGAGTACTTTCAACCCAGCCAAACCGTCAAGAAGCAAACAGCAACATGTATCAACAGAAAAGGGATCAAGGTTTGAGGAGCTTAGGGTTCAGGGATAAGGGGTCGTTGACTTGGGGATTGAGGGCATTCAACGGCTTTGGGGTCTCTTGTTTAGGATTTGCGGGCAAGTATACTTTACACTTGTGTTTGGTGTTAACCTGCTTTTCTTCTCATAGATTTGCAACCTTTAGTTCCCTAAGCTCTTCTGAGTCCAAGCCCGAAGCCCCGGCCCCACCTAGACCCCAACCGCATAAAGACAGCTTGAATTCCCAAGCCCTCGAACCTAAAACGCCAAGCCCCACCCAAATCCAGCTTCAGGATGTGCGTTTGGGGCTTGACATGTACTGTTCGTGATTTACATGTTGGACTGTAGAATGTACGTTCAGTGGTGTGGTCTAAGACTCTCAGTGTAGGATCCGACGTTTCAAGGGTGCCCCGAAACTCCAAGCCCTGCAACATCCTGCAACCCTATAAAGCCTTTCAGCCAAAGCCTAAAGCCCTAAACCCCAACAACCTCGTAATTAACCGAAAACCTCATAAAATCTGTCAAATCCGGGCCTCGGGTTAGCACTTCTGCACCTCGGAGCAAAGCCGCCCGACGTGCCGCCTGGGTGCCCAGATCCAAATAAACTCCAGCGCCATGCATAATTTCAGAGTATTTTGTGTAGTATCGTGAAACAGGAACTATGAGGGGATACGGTCAATTACCCAATATTCAGACAAGGATTCCTGATGAAAGGGCGGATTCTTGAATCTCAGCAGTCAGTGAAGCCTTGTCAGGTCCCTCTAAGGAGTATTTAATTTAAGGAGTCTATAATAGGGTCCCCCCTTTAAGGGCTCGTTGATGAAAGCCTTGTCAGCTTGGCCCCCCTGCGGACATCTCCTTGTGCCTCCCGCGACCGATGTCAAGGACCTACAGGCGATCTTTGCGTGGTTTAGGGTTTAGGCTTTAGGGTTTAGGGTTTAAAGTTTAGGGTTTAAAGTTTAGGGTTTAGGATTTAAAGTTTAGGGTTTAGGGTTTAGGGTCTACCTTAACCCTGAATAGCCTACATTTGCAGGGCTTACTATGATTTCTTTATATAGGTCCGTAAAAGGGTAGGCTATTCCGGGTTAAGGTAGGGTTTCAGGCTCAGGGTCTGCAAAATTGCTAATATGCTTGAAACTCGAAAGGATCTATTAGGGGTCTTCAACGAGGGTGGTTGTCAAAACTATGGTCCCTTACTTGGGGCTCTAATATAATAAGGCACCTATTCTTCAGGGTACCCAAAAAGGGACCCCAATTTTTACAACTACCCACGAGGAACAATAAGGCTGCAGTAGGGCTTTAGGCTTATTTACGTTCGGTAGGAATGCCATTGCGGCCAAGCCCTCGGCTGTAGGGTCTGGGTACAGGGATTCCTTCAAGGATTCCTGTAAGCTTGGTTTGCACAACCCCTAAACCCTAAACCCCAACACCCTAAACCCACCCCGAGCCGGAAATCCTTGCGGGCTTCGGTTCCACCCTACCCAGCGGACCAGGACCAAGGTTCTGCCACCCTCCCTGGACCCCGAAGATCCTCAAATCCCTTCAAAATCGCTCTGTCCTAGGATCCCCAGACCTCCTATATTCGTAAGGCTTTGATCAAGAACAACAGACAAAGTGATCAAGTTATGGTCGTTTTTAGTAAACGCTCCCTAGAAACCCGACCCAACGCCCCAAATCTAGAAGCGGTATAAAGGAACTTGGGGACGAAGGTTTGGAGCTCTGGAGGCTTGAAGCCTTACCGAATTAAACCTGAAAGCTCCCCTTCAAAACCCCATGAAGGTCTATAATATCTGTATATAATGTCTAGTTGGCTTCAAAACCTTATGAAGGTCTATAAAACTCCTATATAATGTCTAGTTGGCTTCAAAACCCTATGAAGGTCTTTTATACTCCTATATAATGTCTGGCTGGCTTGAGATGCAGACAGCAATCTTCCACGCAGCCATCGTGCGGTACACGATGCTGTAGAACTGATCCTGCTCTCGGGTTTGGGGCGTTGGCTGCGCGACCTCGCCGAAATATCGCAAAGACAACCAGCGCTCGACGACTATGTACGTCGGATGAAAAATAATATGAGACCATATCGTAGAACTTAATATAGGATAATCTCACCTACGGTGGTTAAGAAACATGTTCGCAATACGATCAAGCGATATCTTCTGGCATCGCAAAACAAATAAAACATATCGCATAATATAGGATAAGGCCGCATGATACCACAAAGTATAACAGAATATAAGATAACCAAATATAGTGTATTAGATTTGGGATAACACCATACAGCAATGCACCATCCTTCAGTATGATACAGTGTAGTGCAACACATGAAAACTACTATAAGGCAACATCTCAAACAAACCATAAGGCAATATGACAAGTTGAAGTAGTGTAATAAAGAACCGTATAACGTTACTACTGACAAACTATCATATTCTGCTTGCTAAACTACATTGTCTGTCGTGCTATACCTTGCTCTGCTTACACTTACTGCATTGCATTAAACTGAACTGCTCTGTACCATAATGCGCGGTTCGAAGAATATTAGCAGTTAAGATCCTCTTAGGCGCAATAAGAGCAAGTACAAAGTGTCCCAAAGCCCTACCTAGTTATAATCTGTGAGTCTTGGACCGATTGCAAAGCCTGATGCAGAACACATCTGAAGGATCCGACTGCTTCGCCGCCAAACGAAAAAGCTTCAGCTTGCATGCCGAAATTGAAACTGCCAGGCTGCGACAAGGATTCAGGGTTTACTATACTCCCCTGAGAACCAAAATAACAAGAATTTGTTTAGTATTCTCTTGGGTTTCATATGAACAAAAACATACTTCCCAAGGAGACCTTAATATGTTTGCTAGGTCAGAAAACTGAGAGATGCACCGTCGGCCAAGCCACACGACTCATCGAGTTATGAACTACTGATTCTTGGGCGTTGAAGATCAGTGTGTGGTATAAATGGCCCCATACCCCAAACCCTGCATCCCCACTCACCCTAAACTCTGCATCTCTGTATCCCTAATCAATAAACCTTAAACTGACTTCGACACATCCCGGAACCGTAAGGCCCCCTGTCATAGAACCCTTAAGCCCTCATAAGTTCCATACAGGAAACTTTATATTAGAGTCCTCTCGTAAAGCAACCCTGTAGGGCCTGACGCCAGAGCATCACAGTGATGGCCAGGGTGTCTGCCAGCTTCTCGGCGGAGCCGATGCGCTCGCCTCCCCGACGAACAGCTTAGGCAGTGTGGTCTACCCTAAGGCTCAAAATGGCCCAAAAGCCTTATATGATATGGTCTTTAGGCCCAAAAGCCGTAAAATATGAGCCCTTAGAGCCTTAGGGTTCGGGTATGGGTTTTAAGTCTTAGGGTGCAAGGCTTGGGGTTGGAGGATGGGTCTGAAGTTTAGGGTTCAAGGCTTGGGGATGAAGGTCTATGGGGCTTAGGGAAAATCTGGAAGGTTTAGGGTGTAGAGTTCGGAAGATCTGGCTGTAGAGTTTGGATGCATGAGTGTAGCCTCGCATTTAGAACTAGAGATGTCTTAGCTCGTGGTTCTCTCAAGTTACGAGCAACGGAGTCAGAAATAGCAGCTCTGCTCCTTCGAGGTACATGGAAGTTGCATTAAATAAAACGGACACCAAATCGAGGGATCGGATGAGAAGGATTTCGAACAGTAAGAGTAAGAACCCATCATCCCCACAGCCGATACTCAAACCATCACAAGCCTCGGCCCCAACCGAGACAGCCACAAGCCATAAACCGGAAGACTCATCGCAGGCCTCGGGCACGTCTTGCCTCCGCCGCCCAGAGCGTGAATGCCGTGGTCCAGGCGAGGCGATCAACAGCCTGTCTTTGGAAGTGTAAGGTTTTGGGGATTTAAGGTTTTGGGTTTGGTTGTCCTATTTCGAACTATTGGGGTTTATGCATGTACAGGGGTACGAAGTTACTTTCTGAGTTGTGGTTTAAGTTTCTAACAAAGTGAAGGAGGCTTATGGTTTCGTGCCAGAAGCATGGACCCGCAAAGCCTACGTCCTGAAACCCAAACCCGAGCCCTGAGCCCCAAACACCGACATCCCAACCCCAAACTCCGAAACCCAACACCACTGAAAACCCAAACCCTGAACGCCAAACCCCGAACCCTAAACCCTGAACCTGCCCGTCACGGTCCAGGGACGTCGTGAGGACTCTTGACAAGCAGCGACTACGCCTCGCCATCCGCGCACGAAACGGAGTTCCAAGGTTTAAGGCTTAACTTTGTTTTCGATTTGAAGGTTTACGGGTCTTAGGGGTTGAAGGTCTAGAGGTTCAGGGCTTGAAGGGCTTAGGGCTTCGGATGTACGGCATGATATGGGAGCCCTAATAATACCGTTCTAGTACTTCATCAGAAAAGTAAGCACTGCGCCCTGCAGCGTCATGTTTGGATTTTTCAAGAAATGCGGCGACCCCAACCACGGAGCCCACACAGTATAGTATCCTCATCGTAGGGTCGAAGGAATACCTCAGCCACGACCCCCAACTCCGATACCCTCAAAAACCCTTTAACTGCCTCAGACAAAACATCTCAAAGCCCCCTATAAAACCTGCAGATCCTGTACACCCTGTAAGGCCCATACACCAAGAAATTCCTTAGCCATTAAGTGCGGGTTGTCGTCGCGAGGCTTTTCAGAGCTGATGGGATTTAGTGTGGGCTCCGTGAAGCAATCAGAAATTGAGGGTTTAGGTGTAGCGCTCTAGGGTTTTAGGTTTTCGGGTTTGGGCTTTGTGGTGTAGGGTGAAGGCTGACGGTGTTTGGGAGTAGGACCGGCGTATCCTGTAGGGTTGAGACTGCTAGGTTGTAGGGTGGGTGCAGAGTTGAGGGTGTAAACTTTCGCACGCGTTACAGCGAACATCCGCACTAGGGTATCTCAAATAAAGTTCTGTAGACAAGCCCGTGGAACTCTTGTAGAACTCGGATCCTGGGCAATGTATTCCATCATGTAGGGGCCAGAAGAAATAACTACGCAGTGATATTATCCCCTTGCAATCCTTACATAGACAAACTCCTTACATAAGTAGACTATCACATACCCACCACAGCACGTGACAAAAACTCCATTCTAATAAGAGCCCTATGTGATGGTGATGGTGATGATGATGCGGATGATGATGATTATGTTGATGATGAGGATGAGGATGATGGGCATGAGGAAGATGAGGATTATGATGATTGGTGATTTTTAGTATATACTATTGTTGATATGAATATTGGATTCCGGAATGAACAACTAGACCCAAGAGTAACCTATGAAGAAAAAGGGTGCCCTTTTTGGTTTAAAGGGGCTTATAAGGGAACCTGAACCCTAAAAAAGGGAATAAGGGCCTATTCTAGGTCCTAGACAAGGAGCCTGGTGGTCCAGTTGTGCTGCTTCGCCCGGATGACTGCGGAAGGATTCCGGCCGTGGACCTGGCGAGGAGGGCCAAAAATCATGAACGCTAGTCTAGGGTTTAGGGTTCAGGGATAATGAAAATAATCGTAATACTAGCAGGTAGGCATCATCGTACTAGTAAACATAGATAATAGCGATCGTGATCACGATGATGCTGACGGAAACATAAAAGCAATAACCGGGATATTAGTAAGCATATCAGTATGATATTAGTTATAGTCTTATAGTAGTAAGGATCGTCTTTCTAGGAAACAGTATTGCCGAAGAAGATGATGATGACTATATTGCTCGGGATCAGGGGCAAAATCGGGGTGCTAGAATTACCCCACACCATAAACTCCGAGCTCAAACTAACCTCAAACCTGTCGCAGACTTACAGCCCGTCAACCTTTCCTAAGCCCCGACTACACTTTGCTAAACAATCTTCAAAACTAGAAGGCCTGCTTCAGGAATCTCGTGTTCCCGAATTGCACAGTTGGGGCTGTAAGATTACAGGGGGGTTTTGGTGCTGAGGGCTTGAATTGAAGGATGGAGGGGTCTGGTGTTGGTCTTAAGCGCACGTGTTAACTATCATGTGCCGGACAACTTTCCCTTCAAGGATCTAGGTGGGCTAGGCCATCCGATCGCGATGTCGCTGTGAGAATACGCCAGAATCCAGAAAGTTGGAAGATTACGGCATGCCAGTGAAGTGGAGTTAAGTAGATCCCACCACTAATGGTCCCTGAACGCGTGTTCACACTTTTCAGAACGAAGCTCCACGGGAAAACTCCAAAGACCCCCAGCCAGAAAGCCCACCAACATTTGAGCGACAATCTTGACTCCAGGCATCGCAGAAAGGCAAGAGGCAAGCCTGCAACTGCGCACTCGTAGCACCCGAAACATCAACACGTGGAGTTTTAGTTTTGAGACGCGAAACCCACCAATGCCGAAGTCACGCTCGTGACAAGGCGCACAGGACAATGTAGATCCCTGATGCCGAACCACCCTTTCTGTGAGGGCCCTGACTTATCTGAGGATCTTAGTCTAGCCCTTATTCAGGGAAAGGGGTTTGTTACTTCGGGGTCTACATTACCATGTGCAACTCGGCGTGAGGACGTCGCGCCAACCACCGAACGTTCCTCGAAGGATGGCTTGCGCCTCAGCTTCAAGATTTGGATGTGGCGTTCAGAGTTCAGATTCAGTGCAATGTATTGCCGTACGCCCGAGAGCCCTAAGCTCTCAGTGCACCTCAGAAGAAGGGATCACAGTTTCGTGTTTGGGGTCTGTAGTTCGTTCATACCCCAGAACAAATCTGTTATCGGCTGTAGCTTCCTGTGGGCCCCGATCTCCCGTCCACAGTGAAGCTTCGGGGTTCTGGGCTCATGAGGGGTTTAGGCCCAAGTTGAGGCCTTTCGGTTTGGGAGTTTGGGGATTTGAGGGTCTGAGGTATTCCACGCAAGGACCATGCAAAAACAACGAAAAAACGACATCTCAGCCCTAGACACCCCAACCCCAACGCCAGAAACCTCAAGACTCAAAGTCCTGACAGAGCCAGGCTGGCCGACTTCACGGATGCATAACGGATGCTGACAAGAGGATCATGACGACCCCGGTTTAGGGTTTAGGGACTTCGACCACGTCAGCACGAAAAACAGCCTTTGAGCTAATCACTCGTGCCACTGGAACGGCTTTTGGCAGACACACTTACCACCAGGACAACTATAACAACTCGACCAGAAGAACGACACCGGCCACGGCAGGAAGACTCGCAATCATTTCAAGTGTAAGTTCTGTGATTTGATGGGCTTGAGCTTTTAGACCGTGCTCCTGGAGGATATCGTCTCTTGATGAGTATTCGCGGCTTCTGATGCTGAACGCAGATGCACTTTGCGGTTAGTATCTCACCAATGGTTTGGAAGAAGAACCCCTCAACGGGATTAGTCGCCGGCCACCGCAAACAGATTGTGAACTCCCACAAATCGTCCATGCAGATGCCAAGTAACCCAAACCACAAAACTGCCAAACTCAAACAACTCCAAGCCTGAATCAGCTATAACCCCCAAATTACAAAACCCTGAACTGCTGCTGCTAGACTTTACAGTCAAGTGGCCATTCTGTGTTCCACCAGGGCAGCGAGCGACCTCGCCTGGTGGAGCTGTGTGATGAGTCCGGACCACTGGCTGAAGACCTGAGTTGGCTCTTGGGTTCACGGAGGGTTTCACATAGCCTGTATGGAGGCTCTATATAGGTTTCATATAGTTCAGGGGCTTCGGGAGATTTTTGCCAGGGTTCCACAGGGTAGTTGACTCGTGTGAGGAACGAGCTTGCAAATGTTGACCCCTCTGGCTGCTGGATATGTCGGATGATTTGAGATCACGATGTGCTGATAATTCTGGGTAAGATAGCTATTTCGCATGTTTTGATTCTACAGCCACCACTGCTTGCACAAATTAAACATCGCACCGTTGGTACTGCCATTTCAGATGCTACGCCTGTCACTCTTGTCGCCATTTTGCTAGTATCATTGCTCTGCTCGCTGTTTCGACCAGAAGTGGCTAAAGTGTCTTTGTTTGCTGTTGGTGCATTCTTGTTGTTAGTGCAGAGGGGGTGTTTTGTTTTGTTGCTGCGGGTAAACACGGCTGTTTCTTGCTTTGCTGTTGGCGCGGGCTGCCGCGGAGGGGAGTGGGGGTGCTTTGTTTTTGTCCTGTTGGTGCGGGGGGTAAGGGGAGGGGGTGTTGTTTTTGCCTTCAGTGCGGTGTTTTTTTCTGTTCAACTGGCCGTTCAGGTTTGCCGGTTCTCAGCTGCAGAGCACAAGAGCAACAAAAGACAGCAATAGCCAACAAACGCAACCGTTCCGAATTTTCTCTCTGACTGCCGCTCTTCTTGGTCGTGTCCCCGAACGATTGTTGGCACTTTGGTTGTTACCACCCTTGGTAACTACCACTTCTGTTCTTGTGATACCTCTGGGCACCAGTCTTCATAGCTTCGCAATGGTTGTGTGTTCAGCATGACTTATCGTTATTGGCTGCCTGGGGCGTAGTAGTAGGATAGTGTTCAGGTGTTTAGGGTTTAGGACTGTGTAGAAAATTTCGAAGTCAGTCGCATCATCCCGTTTGCGCAGTCTACAGTGCCGGAGCCTTGGCTCTGTCCAAGCCATGTCTTCACAGCTTTTGAAAAGGATGGTGAAGACAATGCAGTATATATATATATATATACGAACAAAATCAGAATACAGTGAATAATACATACATACTATATATATATATATATATATATATATACACATATATATGCTCACCCCCCGCGGTTGACAGACCATGCCCTTGTGATAGTGTACTCTCGTTCGGTGACAAGGCTGAGATATTGTATCTAAACACACCACACATGACGACAATATGTAAAGCAAATCCTTTACAGTACATATACCAAGTATGCTTTTAACATGCCATGTACTGAGGACGCATGGACCAGAAAGCGACACGTGAGTTATGAGTTTTGTGGTAGCATTGATATAGGATGAGTATGAGTATTAATATTGGTATTAGTATTAGTATCAGCAATAGTATTAGTGTTTACTGTAAGTATACATGTATATATTTGTATATATATATATATGTATATATCGACAGTAGTAAGTATACATTTATGTTAGTGCTCATCTTCGTTTTAGTCCTAGTGTTAGTGCCAGTGTCAATGCCAGTAATAGTACCACTGCTAGTATAAGTATCAGTCTTCATGCTGGGTTTAATATCAGTTAATAATGGCAGAGGTGCTAGTGTTGGTATCAAAATTAGAGTTAGTTTCGATATGTTACATTCTGACAGTTTCGTATATCAGCAGGTTAGTATATGAATACATTGATGTGTTCGAGAGGCAACATATTTGTATACTCGCATATTCGTAGATTTAATACTTTAGTACAACTAATGCACGAGTAAACTAGCATATTGGTTTAATATATTAGTATATTAACATACCAGTATATTCGTACATTAGTGTATTAATATACTAGTATATGCAATATACGTGTATTGTCTAAAGATATATAAGTATATCAGTATGTTGTCATATTAGTACACTAACCTGCCATGTCGGTATACTTGCATATTACAGTAGTCGTATACTAGTATAGTCGCATACTAGTATAATAGCATACTAGTATAGTAGTATTCACACATTAACAAGTAGTGTATTGTTACATTGGTATATGGGTATATGCTTGTCCTAAAACATCAGTACGTGAATGCATTGATACATAACGGCATTTTAAGATAATGTTATGTGTTCTGGTGTGCATTAGCATATGCACGTGTCTTTTGTAATGGTATTAGTCTTCACATCAATATGAATATGACTATTGGTATTCGTAGGAGTATTAATGTTAACATTCGTATTAGGATTATCCATAGTCGCATTAGCCTTAGTATAAGTGTTAATGATGGTATTAATACTGGCATTATCTTGAATATTCAACAAGTTATCAATGACAGTATTAGTATTGGTGACAGCATTACTGTTAACAGCATAAGAGTATACGCAGTAGTATCCGTAGGAGTCTCAATACTTATGTAAATCTTGGTGTTCGTATAAACAGTGTGATTGGTATTAGTAATAGTGCTAGTGCTAATATTAAAATGAGGTTATGTATTCGCATGAACGTTTGTCTTATATTAGTATTACTCCTGATTACATGAAAATACTAACAGATAAATACATGCATGAGCTAATGTATTTGTACTTTAATATAGTGGTATGTATATTTATGTACATTGGTATATGCAGGTGTGTATTAGTATTGGTATTAAAAAACACTACTACCAATGTGGGCATAATTATTGATATGCGTAGGAGTATAAACGTCAGTATTAATCATTATTAGTATTTGTATGGTGCCTATTCGTATTGGCTTAAAAAAGTGTGAATATTAGTGTTAATGCTGGTAGTAGCTTGGGCAGTCAGCAAATGATCAATGTCAGTATTAGTATTGGTAATAGTATTCGTAGGAGTACCAATTTAAAAAAATATATATATATACACACACACTGACAATCGTCTAAACAGACCTTGCCTTTGCAAGTGAGTCGTAGTGCATGGTCTGTCATCCGATGGGTCACAATCAGCCCACGGAAAATCAATTCCAGAAGTTCCAAGATTTCCAAGATTTCCGACATTTCCGAAATTTCCAAAAATTTCCAAAATTTCCAAAATTTCCGAAATTTTCAAAATTTCCAAAATTTCCAAAACGGCCCGACCTAGACGACATGATTTTTCCAAAACATAAGGGCGGACTTTTTGAATATTTGGAAAATTTCGGAAATTTTGGAAATCCGGAAAGTTAGGGGAGAGAATTTTGGAAATTTGGGAATTGAGTTTTTGAAAGCTGAGTGCCCCCTCCCCCCGATCACAGACCATGCGCTACGACTGAGTTGAAAGGGCATGGTCTGTCAACGGGGGGGTGTGACCATATATATATATATATATATATATATATATATAAGATTTCAGCCCCCCCAAATTGGCCTGACATCGCCGCGCACTGAGTTTTCGCGGAGATCAGCTTCTGTCCCAGCTGCGGAACATCCAACGCGAAGGGACCAAACATCACACACATAAAACTGGGTTCTTGTTAAAGGGCATAGTTTAAGGTAATTACCATAAAACAAGGAAACCATATTAATTGCTATAGATGACTATTATGATAACCTAAATTAAACCCTTTAAGAAGAACCCAGAAAAGGCTGCCTGGGGCCGAGGCTGCCTGTGCCGTCAGATGCTGCAGGCGGATGGGGGCCTGGAAGGGGTTGTTCGTCGAGGGGTTTAGGGGCTTGGGGGGTTAGGGTTTAGGGGTTTAGGGTTGAGAGTGAAGAATGCGATTCAATGCACGTCTCATTTACCACATGCTGTACAATGTATTGTGAACAACTACAGCATCTCTTCGTCGATAGTCTTGTCAGAATCACTGTTGCTGCTGATCTCCGTACTGCTTGCCAGTCGAGATCTGCATTCCTGGATTGCAGATCCTCAGGCAGCGGGCCTTTGCGGAGCATCAGCAGCTCATCGACCTCGGACTGGAGCTGGCCGACTCGTTGCAGAAGCCCACACAGCACATTGCGATTCGCAGTGATCTTGCTCTCCAAAGTGCCGAAGCCATCCTGCACCCACCGCCGCTGGTGTCTATGCGGTCGTCTGTGGAGAGACGTAGTTCGGAAGCGGAAGAGTTCTTGTCAGGACCTCGCCATGCGAACCTACAGTACAAGCAACGTCTCTCATCTGCCCATCTCTCTGCAGATCCGCCTTCCGGCACAGGTAGCGTATGGTAGCGTGCACCCTAACATTCAACCTTAAACCCCAAGATTTTTCCCTTAACCCTAAATCCCTAAGCTTTGGTCCTTTGAGCGGTTGGTTGGGGCGTTCATCTTGGAGGTTCCATGGTTCAGGAAGTTCAGTTTAGGGTTTAGGGTTTAGGGTTTAGGGTTTAGGGTTTAGGGTTCAGGGGTTCAGAAGTTAAGGGTTCTACCGTTTTACCCGAGGGAATTGGGAGCTTCTGGGGCTGTCAGTGCTCGGGATGTTTAGAAGTCTAGGGGTTTAGGGTTTATACGGGATCTACCTAAGAGGATCTCTAGGGTTCCTTTAAAAGGGATCTATAAGGGGCCGCTCAGGTGTACGAGTCCATGTCCACTGTGGCTCCGGGAGCCCCTTGGGGCTGAGGACTTCGGGTGTTAGCCTTGGGGTTGAAAACTTTGCGTTGAAGGGATTGGTGGTAGCCCCAAACCCAAAAAAACCCTACACCCCTAAACCCCCAACCCTAAACCCTAAACCCTAAACCCCCAACCTCTAAACCCTGAAACCCTAGTACGACGAAGCTGAGGGCTCCAAACCACCCAGCCAGAAACCTGAAGCCCGACTGAACCCTACCGTAATCTAGGGTGCCCTAGAAGTGGGCCCTACAGAATAGAGTGTTGGTTGGGGAATGTAAGACTATACTTAGAATAGGAATCCGAAAACGTAAACAGTGGTTGTGTGGGGTTTTGATGGGGATTAGTTGAAGAGGCCTTCACGATCCCAACAAGGCGTTTGGTTGCAGTATGTTGTAGTTGTAAAGGGACGATAAGG